TGCCCCACAAAAGTAACATTATCAGAAGAGCACACAATGTATCTGCTGATATCCTAGCTGAAGTCCACAGTCATAAAAGAGCCAAGGTTGCCTATCCCTGTCCTAGTCCTAGGTTATGGATATGAAAGAGAGAAAAATTATACTTTGAATTATATATTTTAAAGAAATGAAGAAGGAAGCAATATATTTGGTTAAGTACTATAGATACATGTTTTCTTGTGCCTAAGCTCTTTATCATTTAGCTGCTGTTTTTTACCTAATTCTTTAGGTAACACTGCATTTTTTCTTCTTCTTTTAACAACCTGTAATCCCTTGCATCAGGGTGGAGTCAGGACAACTGAATGGAGCTAACCATTTATGGCCAGATGCCCTTCCTGACACCTATGCGCAGTTCTTACCAGATATTTTCTCTTTGAGCCCAGATAGAAATATCAGCCGCTACCTAGGATTGAACTCACAGCTTCCTGATACAAATCCTGCATTGCAGTAGCCTCATTCACTGCAGCATTAGATAAAATAGGCAGGCTATCTTATTGGGCAATTAATTATGTGCCACCAGCCTTAGCTGATGAAAGGCACTTAAATCACTTACCTACCTGCTCCACCTCCCATCAAATCTCTCTTGTCCCTGGCACTTTTCCCCACTCTCTTCATGGTTTATCCAGTTGTTCCCTTAGTGGTTGTAAAGTGATAAATGTGGATCTTTAAAGTCTTAGATCTATTTGACCTAAAGGAGCTCAGGAGAATGGATTTTTATTTTGGAAAACCTGGTTATTTTTAAACTCAAAGACTTATTCTTAAACTTAGTATTACTGAACCATTTATAGTATGTGCCAAGTCAGTAACAGAAACAAAAGAAGAAGCTGCCTACTCCAGGGACTTTCATTTTCTGGTAGTGACTTTTATGGACTTCAGCTGGCATTCCAGATTGTTTTCTGTGGTTATTTCTCACTTCTGTGCAAACTGCTTGTTTCTATTTTTGTTCCTCATTTCATAAACCATTTCATAAAACAAAACCAAGTATGTATACATGTATATCTATATGTACGTATGTATTGATTGGACGTTGTCATATTCAATGATATATTTTTCTATAAATGTATTTTTTTTTCAAGATTCATCACATCCCTGGTTTGAGAGCTGGTTTTAATCTCAGGACTGTGCAGCCCTCCTCAGATTCTATTGTTTGGGCTTAGGAAATCCATAAGCCAAACCCACTTTGTCCAGAGGCCAATAAATAGCAAGGATGGAAGTATTGTTGTTGTTGTTAATTGCGAAGTCGTGTCCGACCCATCGCGACCCCATGGACAACATTCCTCCAGGTCTTCCTGTCCTCTACCATCTTCTGGAGTCCATTTAAATTCACACCTACTGCTTCAGTGACTCCATCCAGCCATCTCATTCTCTGTCGTCCCCTTCTTCTATTGCCCTCAATCTTTCCCAGCATTAGGCTCTTCTCCAGGAAGTATTAGACAGGAGAGTTAATTGCATTTTCCCATCACAACTTCTTATATGTTGCATGTTTTATATTATTTCCACTGTTGCTTTCTATGCAGTGATGATGGCTGATTTCTCAAGAAACAGATAAAAGACATACTTGAAACTCTGTCAGTAGATTGTGCTTCTTTCTGTATTCTACTGGCAAGGTTACTTTCCTGTGATGAATTTTAATTGCTGAAAATTGCAACAATAGGTTTGGATGGAGTGACAGTTCTATCTGAAATTTCATTGACATGATCAGTCAAAGTGATATCAGTCAAAGTTACACAGAAGAGTGCAGTATAATAGAAACAACATAGGTTTAAGGTGTTATCTCTTTCTTTTTTTTATTAAAGAAATCTCTACCAACAAAAGGAGATTTTCCATTTAACTATTGTTAAATAAATTATTTGTTTATTATTCTATAGCCGAATTGTTTTGGGGACAAAATTATCACCAGAAAAATAATACAAAACAAATCCACTTAGTAAAACAAACAGTTTTAATCACCACTCAATAAAATATAACAAGCATCACATAATCTTGAAATCACAACTATTACATAATTGTAAAAGATACAATAACATCCTATTTATAATTATTTTTAAAAGCTTCTATTATTAAATTATGTCCAGATTTGAAAGGCATGTCATATCTAAGGGAGTCCTATTACTTCAAAAAGTACTTCTTATGAAGGTTTAATTTTAAGTTATATCATTGGATAATGATATAATTTAAAATTAAACCTTCATAAGAAAGTTATAAATTTAAAAGAGAGACCCTTGGAATTTGATCATTCCATACACAATTAATCTATAATTTACCAACTGGTTTATAACTAGGTAGAATTAACATCCTTCTCAGAATACATATCAGTTATGAGGAGATATTCATATTTATAGTCTTTTTACTTCCCCATAGCACCATAGATATTTTCAACCATGTATTAATGTCACCATTACTGAATCTACATTTTACAATAGGAAGTATTCAAATCTCCCAAAAAGAATGTTAATTATCCTTAAATGTTTAATTAAATCTGAGCAAAAGACAAAAAGGTATTCTGTTGCTTATTGGGAAAGTGTTTTATTTATTACTATTTCTTTTATATCCAAAATATTTGCCCTATTGCTTTACAACCTCCACAAGAGAGTTCTTAAATTATTAAATAATAATAAAAATATATTATTAAAAATAAAATATGGCAATACATTTTCCAAAAATTTAACCTGTACATACTTGCATCCAAAGAAGCCAATACAGCCATTTCTTCATTTTCAAAATCTACTAATAATTTGAGATTATCAGAAACCTGACAGTCTTTTATAAAAGCAGATTGTGCAGAATAAGTTATTGATGAATACCTATTCTGCAGTCAGAATTGTTACAGCTATAATTTTACATATTTAATGGTATGGTGCATTTTTCTATTTATGTTCACTGGCAAAGTTGTAGAATTGCAGGAATTTATATTTAAATATTTAGCAATGATATAGATTATAGAATGATAATTTGTATGGTCCTTTCCTTTTTTTTCAAAGAACTATATAGAATGAAAAAGGAAGAACACCTTTTTTTAAAAAAATGTATCTCTAACAACCTCCTTTTATGTTTATAAACTCTTCTAGTTCACCGAGTCTATCAGTTCAATTGCAACATTAGAGGTGGAACTAAATCTTTTGAATAAACATAAGAAACTTGAGGAAGTTTTATTTCCTTTAAAAAGCTGTCCACCACCAAGCATCTATGACTAAGATTATTTGCCTGATAGCCTTTGACTTCATAGCATGGTCTGTGTGAAGCCTAACACTGAAGGTGGGGAAAAATTAAAAATCATATAAATTAACATATTATACAAAATGTTTGAAATAAATAAATAATAAAACCAAAAGAAACTTTAATTGATAAATTTGTCATTTCTAAGTGGTCTTTTTTATCATCGGTTTCCATGACCTTAGATCATTTTGAATCCTTAAAAAAAGTGAAGAAAAAATGAGGAAGTTGTTTCTATCTGAGTCATAATTACAAAGAACTGAAGCAGTTAGTATTTGAAAATGGAAAATAAAAATAGAGAGGAAGGGACAGTGGAGGAAGTGGGGCTGTGAAACAGTAAATAGCTGCATTTGCAGGTATAAATTGAAGTTTAGCTAAAATGGAAAACTGTGCATGGTTTACTCTTAGAACACCAAGGCAATGCAATAGCTTTAGATGTTATTTCCAACCAGTTAAAATCTAAAGAGGTACAGTAGATGAGATGCTTGAACTAATCTAGGCCAGAAGACGCAACAGACAACCTGCACACACGCACATGCATACCCCTGCATCTCAGCATCTTTTTTTGCATCCTAAATGCTCAAAGATCATGCTGCCAAATTATGACTATCCAAATTTTCACTTTTTATCAAAATGCAGTGCAACTTATTAAGCATCTTTTGTCTATCTTATTTTTAAAAATCCTCAACCCAAAGAAGCATGGGGGGGGGGGTGAAGCTAAAGGTTCATTTCTCTTCCTTCCAGGCTCATCCCATGTCACTCCTATCTTCTGAGGTCCTGAACAGCCAAACAGATTTATTTATTTGTTTATTTGTTTATTTATTTATTTATTTATGAGACTTATATACCGCTTTAAGTGCAAGCACTCTCTAAGCGGTGTACACCAGTAAGCTTAAGTAAGATTAAGATGCAGCCCCAGTATAAAGAGATTGATTGACACTTATGTCAGAAAAGAACTAGTTGTGTTATTCTCCAGCTTAGAAAGAACACAGAGTACTCACCTTTCCTTTCTTTAAATGGCTAGAAAAAAACAGTTGGCTTGAAGCCTTGAGGTTGAGACTGGCATGTGGGGAGGAGAGAGAATGCAGAATTTGCACTGATGAAGCAAAGCACATGTATAGACTAGATGTGCCTGTGATCTTGCTACGGGTACCTATAAGATAGTCTTGTTTAATTGCCATTCATTTTTCAAGGGAAAGAGGGTTTCCCCCCCCTCAGATTGGAATACAGCACGTTCTGCTTCTGTGGTTTTTAGCATGGTATTTGACACAGGTCTGGATGAAAGAGACCAGGAAATAAAATAAGTCACCTTACTGGAACGGCATACATATCTTAAAGAAGTATCTGTGATTAATAAATTAAACCAAATTACTTATTATTATTTATTAAATTTATATGCCGCTCTTCACACTGTTTGAGTTATCCATTGTTTAAAATTCTTTTGGAATCAATCTACAAGTAATGAAAGGGAAATGTAGGCAGAAAAAAAACAGAGGAAAAATATGAAGAATGGGCTTTAGGATTCAAAACAAGCACTTAATAAGAATACCTGGTTAGGCTTACGTTGTTAAAAAAATCTAACCCTAGTTGAAAATATGGGAAAAGGTGTATTTAAAAAGTGTTAAGAATTGTGTTTGCTGTACTTTCACTGAATTGCTAAGTGTATTATTAACTACTTCAACATGCCTATTTGATTGAAAATCTCCAGCAATATTTGATACATGTATATATATTTGTGGTGCCTTTAGGCATGTGAAGGTGTTCCAGTGCAATATTTCAACAGCTTAGATGAACTGATAGAATTTTACAAGAAAGAGAACATGGGTCTGGTCCGGAGCCTTAAATTCCCAGTTCCCCATGAAGAAGAGGAGACAACAGATGATCTAGAAGAAGATCTGGGTAAGAAGTTCAAAACATAGTAATTTACATTATTACTATCAATTCAAAGTTGTCAATTTGCAGGAAGAAGTCAGTATTACAGTGGAATTGAATTGACCTGTTGAATTAAGGACTGTTGAATACGAAACTTTATCCCTTACTATACACCTCTCTAACAATTCTTTGAAACTGAACGCTGCCTGTCAGTCAGCCATAATGAATATTATTCAAGGATATTATCCCATCTGTCCTTCAAAGGGTAGAGAATGCCCTGGAAAAATGCAAAGCATTTTATCAGTCTCCTATTCATATACCTTGAGGTATTTCCCTGTTGTATGTCAAAAAATATAATAAAATAATGCAAGAAGATCTATTGCTCTATAGTTTTTGAAGTATTGTCTTTCTTTTAGTCATAACTACCAAGCTAAACCATAATTCTATTTAAAATATTTACTTTTACTTTTGAATTGTACTGTGTGTATAGTTTATTCTCTTCACCAATCATACTGTCAAACTGATACCTACTTAATGCTGCTTTTATTAGATTTTAAAAGTTTCTCTGGCAGTACATTTTAGATGTGTGCAAGCACAAAATGCCACTTGAAGTTTCATTGTGTCTGTCTTGCTTCTTCTGACATGACAGTAGAAATATATTTGGCAACATACTCTTGTAATGGTTTACAAAAGGGGTTCTCAACCTTGGCAACTTTAAGACTTGTGGACTTCAACTCCTAGAATTCCTCAGCCAGCTTTGCTGGCTGAGGAATTCTGGGAATTGAAGTCCACAAGTCTTAAAGTTGCCAAGGTTGAGAACCCCTGGACAAAGTTAAAACTCATTCCAATTAAATTCCAGTTAAAAGCAAACAGATGAAAACCCCATCTGTAATTCTAATTACAGTGTACCAAACTTTTCAGAGGAGAAAGACTTTAACTCTCTTTCAGAAGCTCACAAGATTATACATTTGGCACAGCTGTAGCTTCAACCTAGATCAGAGACTAATCCTGAGTTGGAGAAGCAGTTTCCATGTGAATCTTATGTACAATCGCCTCTGGTTCTTACATATTTTCCTTTAAACATGCTGGTGCCACAGCTTCATCCAGAGGGGAGACTTCAGTGATACTCTACCTTCTCTCTCCTAAGGAAATCCTAATTAAAATAATAGCGATGTTTTGGCTGTACATATTAATAGATTTTTCTATTATTCCAACAGCTGGGTGGAAATACAAGTGATTAAAACAGAAAGAACCTTTAACCACAATGCAGAGAAAATGCTACAGCTATTAGAAACTAAAGTCTTGCCTCTAAAGAAGGTGACCAGCCCCATCCTTGGGCACACTGTACGCTGGAGATAGGGGAATCTGTTGAATCAAAAGCTCAAAAATAAAATCCTCAATTTCTTCTCTTTATGTTTTCCTGCTGCAGGAAAGGAAAAGATCTGTGGTGTTTTCACCTTACTCTTTGATTTTTTAAAAATTGTTTTATGGTACCCATTTATTCCTTTTCTTCCTTGGGGGTGACTCATTTTTCCTTCTTGGCGTAGCTTCTGTGCTCCACCCCACTTTGCCCACCTGACTCTCTACTTTTATGTCTTCTAGTCTTCTCTTCTTTCTGCTTTTGTTTTCCATACAACTTCTAACCCCTGCGTATCAATCTTCATGGGTCTTTAATTTCAACAATAATTTATCTTTATTTCTGATCTCCAGATCTTGTTTACTATGCCCCGTTTTTGAAGGGTTTGTTTTTTCCCCTGATGCCTTCATGGGTGCAATGTTGTGTGATCACTTGTTACATACTCTTTGCATCAACGCTATTAATTCCACTGTCTCGCATGTATCCTGCATCTGTATAAAACAACAGTTCTTTTTTTTTCTTTTTCTCCCTGCATCCTCATCCAAATTTAAATCTGCATCAGTGTATCTACGTAATGCATCTGATGAAGTGAGCTTCAGCTCTTTTTAAATAAAATCTGCAAAAGGAGGGAAGAAAGGAGGACATTTCTGTGAAGGGGTTTTTTTTCTTTTCTTTTAATACTTGGAGAATAAGGGGGAGGAAAATGGATACAGTCCTGCTGCTACCTTTCTCCAATCTCTACGTATATAGAGGGAAGTCTGGAGGAGTGTATTTACATGCACCTGAATAGTATATGAGAATCAATTGTGGATGGCTCTAGAGAAGACCAACTTTTTACTTCAGAGAAAGAGAACATCAGTCAACTAGGGCATCCTAGTTGATCAGGCAACTCTGGAGCAGCCTGGAGAGGTCACATTATAGTTCTGGTGTTTCATGTTTTTCAACAATAAACACTTCATGTGAACACAGAAATAAATTCCAGAACAATATGTAATGTTAGCTTTCATTTGTCTGTTAAAGTTTCTTTCTTCAGATTTGGTCATATTTTATGCCACTGAATAATTTGCTGGAAATTAATTGATTGGTTGGAAGAGGAAAGCATATTTGCAGAAGAGCCAGCTGGATTCATGATAGAGAGATCAGTCATGGACCAATGCTTAGCCTTACAACATCTAACTAAGAAATATATATTCCCACCTAAGGGGGAGTTGTATGTGGTTTTTATTGATTTTAAAACAATCTTCAAGTTAGTCTCCAGATTGTGGTTGAAACTGGAGAGGTCTTCTATTGATAATTATTAGGGCTCATTAAAATGCTGCATAAAATTACTTATATCCAAATAAGACTTAACACCCAAGATATCTTTCTGGCCTGGTGCCTACTTATCAGGGTATAAAGCAAGGTTATATTCTAGTCCCCTTATTTAATTTCTATATTAATAATATGGAGCATGTCTCACAAAATTAGAACATTTTCCTCCAAACCTGACTGGTAGACCAATCACACATCTCTTATATGAGCTGATGCAGCCATCATTTCTATTTTACCCATTGATTTAGAAGAGGTCTAAAATCAATTGCTTCTTACTGAATAGTCAACTATTTAATTATTAATTATGAAGAAATTGAAATTTTGGTCTTTTTAAGCTCCTAGATGCAATCATAAATGAGAAATAAATGGGAATGCTATAAAACAAATTGAGGCCTTCAAATACCTCAGAACTGATTTTTATCCCATTGGCTCAAATTCAATCCCTAAAAAAGGTCAAAAGAAGTGAAGTTGTCATATTGAGGTTTATTTATTTATTTATTTATTTATTTATTTATTTATTTATGAGACTTATATACCGCTTTAAGTGCAAGCACTCTCTAAGCGGTGTACACCAGTAAGCAATGTATATATATATTTACATTGCCCCCAACAATCTGGGTCCTCATTTTACCTACCCCGGAAGGATGGAAGGCTGAGTCAACCTTGAGCCGGTGAGATTTGAACCGCTGACCTGCTGAACACAGTCAGCTAAAGTGGCCTGCAGTACTGCACTCTAACTGCTGCGCCACCTCGGCTCAATAAGGTTTTGTGGTTGTATGTGCGCAACAAGAGGTGATTATATTGTGGTGGACAAGAAGTACTTAAGATCAAAATAATATCATAGCCGTCCTATGGCTTTCAAATATGTGCATATAAGAACCATTAGAAGCTGTACAATTAAGCTTCTTAAACAATCTATGTTTGGGTCCTTGTTGTGTTCCCAATTCAGCCCTTCAAGATGAAGCTGAAATGATTCCAATTAAAACTTAAAACTCATATCTGAATAGCACATGTTGTTATCTGGCTCAAACAAATTTTCAAACCAGGTTTTCTGGCTTTGATTTTTCAAGACAAATTCAGATTTCTTGGTATTATTTGGTGCCACCCTAAGCCATTGTGTATTGATTCCAATGGGATTTGATCAGGCCAAAGCATTTTTTAACCATAACCATTAACCAATCTGCCAGAGATATGACTTTGCAAAATGATTTTGGCCAGACTCTACCATATATTAATTCACTGAACCCATGACAAGTGTTGCTCCTCTACACTGCCTCTACAATATTGTCTCCCAAAACACCAGAAGAGCTTTTACTCTTGCTCACAGTAACGTCCTTCCCTCTGCTCTCTTGGACTGAAGGTTCTATAACATATCAAAAAAATTATGGCTCTGACTTTGTGATAAGGAAGAAACGAAACTGTGGTTCCTCTGTTGCTGTTCTGCCTTTTTAATAGAAATCTGTGAGAAATGTATATTTCCCCATATATAACACAATACCCAGGCAGGCTGAAAGCTGACTAAACATAAACTCCTTCTCCAGATGAGGTCTTGTTAAGTCTTAGTTAATTTTTCATCACTTAATATATTTTCTTTTCTTTTTTTTCCTTGCTTTCCTTCTTCCCCCGTCCCCCTTTTTTCCTGTTTGCCTTTTAAATATACACACATCACTCTTAAGTTTTATTTTGCTGTTTCTTTTTCCATTATCTGATAAAGTGCAATAGTTTCCCCCCAAATAGACTATATCATAGTCATTCAGTTAGTTTCATGAATATGTGAGGATTTATACTTAAGTTACCAAAATCTTTATCGAGCTGTCATTGTACCATATTAATATACACAGAGGTTCCCATATAGAGCAGTGATGGTGAACCTTTTAGAGACTGAGTGCCCAAACTGCAACCCAAAACCCACTTATTTATTGCCGGGTGCCAGGTGGGCATGGCCACTGGGTGGGCGTGGCTGTCATGGTCATGACAGACTTGGTGGGTGTGGCCAAGGTGGGCGTGGTCACCTCTATGTTGTTCATGGGGACGGACACCTGTGGGGGTCGGGCAGGGTTGGGGGAGATCCAGGGGGTCTCTGGCAAGTGGAGCAGTGGGCAGGAGGCTCATCCTGCGGGAGTGAGGTGAGGCAAGGTGAGGCGAGGGCGGGGGTGCCATTGTTGCAGGGAAAGGCAGGGGCCAGCCCCCCCAAACAGAGGCCAGCGAGCACATGGGGGCGGACAGTATCCATCGGCAGCCACAGCCTGCCAGCCCCTCGACCAGTGTACTCTGGGGCTCCACAGCCTGCTGCCAGCAGTTCAGAGAAGCCGCCTCTGAGCTGGACAGCCAGCCGACAGCTGAGGAGGTGATGCAGTGGGTCGTGCCCGGGAAAAGGAGAGCATGTGAAGGCAGGAGGGATGGGATGGGAAGGAGGGAAACCAGCCATGCTGGAATGCATCCGGCCATGTGGGACCTCGGCGAGTTAGCAGGTGCTTGGTTGAAGAGGGACAGTTGCTATCTCTGGGGCATGGCGCATGTGCCCACAGGGAAGGCTCTGAGTGCCACCTCTGGCACGCATGCCATAGGTTTGCCACCACTGATATAGAGAATTGTTCTCTGGTAAGAATAGTATCCCATTGAAAAGTAGAATGTTTTAAATAAAGTAGCATTTTGAGTCCCTAAGTCACAGTGTGTGCATATCTTGTTTTGGTGACAGATTCTTTGCCTATTCCACCTGTATTACCTCCACGCAGCATTTCAATTCCAGTAAGTGAAACAAAGGAAGAGCTTTTACTCAATGATTATATCCAGATGTCAGAAGTTAGCAGACCACCTCTTTCTGAAACCTTGCTCCAGCGATTACAGCACCAGGATACCAGCAAGTAAGATCTATCACCATTTCTCTCAAGAAGAATGAGAAAGTCTGGAATTAACCTCATTTCCTTTCACAGTTCTCTTGAAAAAAGATTTCCAGACAAATCTAGGAACAGGCCAGAGCATTTCTTTGTAAAGGTGTCCAGGAAATTGTGAAAGCTAAGGCCTTCCTTCAGGAAATGGAAAGCCTGTCCTAATGAGGGAAAAAAAAAAAACCTCTGGCAAAAAAGTATATAGTGGTAATATGGAATGTCAAAAAACAAAACAAGAAAATCTAGAGGCAAACAAAAATCAAAGAGAACAATAAGAATTTCTAAAAGTTGAGTTTTTAGATGACAAAGTTGTTAAATGTTTCTTCAGGGAGGATGAGGAACATGCAGAGAAATGGAATGAATTCTTTGCCTCTGTCCTTTTACTGAAGAATTATGTACAATAAAACTTCAATAAACTTCTTTCTTAGCAGACTACAGATGCAATGGACCAAATCTCCATGTAAATATCCTCTCCAAATAATGCATGAATTATTTGTTTCAGCCAAAGTATCTAGATCATGGAGTTAAATTTGCTTTCATTTTATATCTTTTGTGATAATTTACATCATTTACATAGTAACTTCATTACATAAATTGCATTATTGTGTAATGTGCAAATGATGTAAATTGACACAAATGATATAATTTACACTGTAATGGACATTCAGGAGTAATAATTGATCTACTAAAATATTACAGTATGATTTTCTCAGGCAGGAAGATAGCAAGATATTGTAGGAATTAGGTTTTTTAATAGGGTTCCATAAACTCAAGGTCTTGAATAGGTTCTGCAGGACCAAGGCAGGAAAAAAGACTCTTGGAGAGAGTTTTATTTTCCCTTCTTAGTCTCTTGCAGAGAGCTTTTTTTCCCCCTTAGTAGCTAAGGTACAGCAGAAATGGCAGTGCTAATCAGCTGACATTCAGAAGCCCCATCTCTCTTGAATGGGTATCCCAGGATTTTTGTTTTGGTTTTTAATAATGATGTTCCCATAGTCTGAAACAGTTTGAAAACCATTATTTTAGGACCTTTTTTGTAATAACTCACTCCTGGTACCCCACCAAGAGTTCTTAAAGTTGTAACTGATCACTCAAATCAAACTCAATGCAAAAGACTAGAAGATACTCCATGGGACACCAGTTTTTTAAAAAGGGAGATCTGGGAGATCAGACAAGTGAGCTTAATTTCTGTTCCAGACAAATTAGTACAATTAGTAATCAAAGAATGAATAACTATGCACTGAGAGGAAGAAGTCATGCTGAAGAAACATCTAGATCTTGTTTTACAAAGTTTTGTTTTTGTGGCTCATCAACATGGGTACAAGTGTCTAAACTTAAGTTTAAGTTTAAACTTATTGTGAGATAAGATATACTATCTTTTTATGGATTGCTAGCTGGTTAAAAAGCAGAAAGCAATGGGTAGGAATAAGTGGACGATTTTGTTTGGGGAAAAAGTAACAAATTGAGTGCCTAAAATATAAGCTTTAAAATTGTTCATAAATTATCTTGACTTATAGACAAGCAGCAAATTGTGTCAGTTTGCACATGATACTATGCAGAGTGATAAAAGCCAAAAGTAACTGTAGGCAACTTCAAAAGCATCATTTTAAAATGCATGAAGTGGCAGATGGAAGTCAATTTATAAGTGAAAAATAATTGAAGCAAAACTTTTAATTTTATATAAACATTGATGAAGCCCAAGCTGTTTGAAACAAATTAGGATATAGCTCAATGAAGATGTCAGCTCATTCTGTGACAGCTGTGGAAAAGCCAAATGTCATGTGCTGAAGGAAAAGTCTTCATCATGGTTCAGTCCAACCTTTAGAAAGAAGGTTGCAGTTTATTGAAGAGGAAAGCCAGACGGGAAGATGGCTCTGGAAGAAAAAGAGAGAGAGCATACGTAGGGAGTGGGTTTTTATACCCTCTGGAGCCTTTTGTTTGGAGTTGTTCCTGTGGCATGAACGTTGACCTGAGTCTGAGTGTGCCCTTTGGCATCTGTGGGTTAATCCTATTATGTCCTGTCTTAGAGTTTCGGTGCGGTATGTAGATTTTAGGTATCTTTGTCTTCTTAATCTTCTAGCTGGGGGCCTCCAACCTTCCTGGATTATTTACATCTGTATTTCTACAGAACTGGTTTCTGCTTGGGGGAGGGAGACTTGGGGCTATTAATAAAAACTGAGCATGCTTTTCTGCCTCTTTAATATTTCCTTCTCTGGGGGGAGCTGAGTTCCCACAAATGCTATGGGAATAAGGAAAGGGATTTAAACTAAAAACACCAACATCATAATCTCCTTACACAAATCTATGATACATCTTCATCTAGAGCACTATGGCCAAGGAGGAGGGGTAGTGCAAAACACTTTCCATATGAAAAAGGTCAGTATTCTTGTGACTCTTTAGCTCAGAAAAAAAAAAGCCCTTGAGAGGAGATGTAACTGAGGTATACAAAATCATGTATGGCATTGAAAAAAATAGACAAGAAAAATGCTCGAAGACCAGGGCCATCAAACAAAGTTGTTTGGAAGGAGATTTTAGCCAGAAAGAAGAAAGCAGTTCTTCACACAGTGTATAATTAATCAGTGAAATTCATTACTACACAACACTGTGACAGCCACTAAATTTGGATGGTTTTAAAAGAGATGATTTTAAACTTGAATAAATTCACAGAAAGCATGTCTTTGTGTTATTTTGGTCTTGAGGAATGAATGTTGGGGGCAACATAATTCCAGAATGCAGGATGTCAGCCTTACACATATATCAAACTTAGAAGCAGACACAATGTGGGCCTAAAGCTACTTTTATTAGAAAAGCTATAGTAACACAGAACCTTGCAAGTCTGAATATGCTTTCTCTCCTGACTCTTTTATTTTCATGTGAACGGGGGAGAGGGGGCATCTGAGGCATTTTCATAAATCTCTTTCTTGCTCTGGGCTGAACCCATGTTTATCTGGTTGTTGCCTTGGTAACAGATCTTCCTTCTGTCCATCAAGGCTATACTCTCTATACAGGGAAATAATAGCTTAGGAAGAGTTTGTCTCTTGCTTAGAAGTACTCCAGAGCATCTAGTTGTGGGTTGTGAGAATCAAAAACAAGTCTTGGATGATACAGCCAGCCTCTTCTTAAGCTTTTCTGTTCCTAAGTAGTATTTTATAAAAATAGACCAATTTTTACTAGGTAAAAAATGTTTCTGCTTGTACTGCTGCAATGACAGCAGAAATGGAAACTGGAAATGATCCTTTTCTGTTCATTTCTAAAATGATTAGGAATTCAGCAATTTTAGTGACATATTAGAAGCAGATAATTCAAAAGGCCGGTCTGGCTTGATCAGAGGGTGGGGTACAAAATTATCTTATAGATAGTAACAAATTTGCTGGCTGGATGTTCTCTCAGGAAAAGGTTAGGAGGTTTGGTTTTGTGTGGGTGGTAGACAGAAAGAAAGCCTTCCTCCTTTGGTAAAACAAGCTATTCATGCAGGCTATATCAGCAAACAAGAAACTGATGAAAGAGAATGTATTACTTGGGCTGTGAGCTTTTATGAGCTTCCTTGGGAAGAAGCCTAGATGATGCTACCCCTCCTCCACCCCCCACCCCTTTACTTCCAACATTGTTCAAAACACATTCAGATGATGCACACTGAGTTCAAATCAGGGAGTTCTTTAATTCATGTTTCTTCTGTAAATTTATAAGGAGGCTGAGACAGGCTCCTCTTAAAACATCTTCAGTAATGGAATAAACAGGAACTAATCCTGTTTAACAATATTACTGAAGCACTTTGAAAGCAAAAGATAGATGTTATACATTTGTTTAAATTTATATAGTTAGCTTGTGTTTTTCCCTGAGCATATCAGTCTTTTGAAAATTAAATTTTAAATCATTAGTAGACGGTATCTGATCCAGCTCTTCTAGAAGTTATGGGACTAAATCTCCCATCATCCTATATTACTGACAAAGTAGCAGTTGGCAATCTACAATACCTGAAAGGCCACATATTGTCCCTCCTTGTCAGCAGGTGAGCAGAGCTCCTTTCTGACACAATTGTTTCCTTTGTCTCTCTTCTATCTTTATTCCTTACTAGCAAGAAATCAAAATAGGAGCTACACAAACTGTTGTAATTCCCTCTCACCAAGGACTTTTTCTCCCAATTGCCCAAATTTAGATACATAAACTTAACACTTGATTTGGTTTTCAAGCTGTTTCTTTCTTCCACAGTATTCCAGAAGAGCATCTCAAACTTATCCAGGATTATTTGAGTGTTCATATAACTAGTGATATTGAAACTGTACAGCTTGGCTCATGGAATCTCCCTCAGCTGAAGAAACTACTTACAGGACTCTGCAAAGGATTCTTCAAGTAATCACAAGTTCATTTGTAGGCATATTTCAGTTGAAATTTCAGAATTCTGTTTATAACTATTTATATAAATTCTTGATTAGTTAAGTTAGAAGTCATTGCTCCTTTGGCTTGAGCTCTTAGGATGGGGATTCAAAATCATTAAACCAACATTCCATATGCAGTCAAGCTTAAGAACCAAGAATGAAGGTGAGGGAGGAATTCTGCCCAATGGGAAAGCAAAGGCCAAAAGGCATGAGTGTCAAACTCGCAATGTCACATGACGTGTCACGACGTATCACAACTTTTTTCCCATTGCCGGCAATGGGGTGGACACGATTTTGGCATGATGCATCCGGACCACAGTCTGGTAGTTTGACACCCCTGCCATAGGGTCTACAAACCAAACTAGACCTCCACTTAATTAAGCCAATGTTGCTTACTTTCAACCAAATTGTACCTAAACCAAAAAGAAATGCAGAACATATGTTAGAATGTAGAAGTCTAAAGCTATTTGAAAACTGGTAAAGAATCTTATACTCTTTCATAGCTATTTGTTAGCTGTCTGGAGAATTCTGGAAGCTGTCATCCTAATGGATTTAGACTACAGTACATAATATTGGAGAATGCGAATATAATACTGCATAACCAAGTTGTTTATATACACGGCTTTTGCATTTCAGTGAGTTGTCTCGAACTTTACCTTCTCTGGAATCTATACAGATGGTGTTTGATCAGCAGCTTTCCCCTACCCATCGACATTCTCAGGTATGATTTTATGAAATTGGCAATATATGTCTCAGAATCCATATCAACTAAAGAGGGATTGCATGATATACAGCAGTGATGGCGAACCTTTTAGAGACCGAGTGCCCAAACTGCAACTGAAAACCAACTTATGCCTGGTGGGTGTGGCCAATTGGGTGGGCATGGCTGCAGTGGTAACAGCAGACTGGGTGGGACTAAAAAGTTCAATCAATCAATTCCAACTTTGCAAGATCTTTTTTTTTCCCCACGAGAAGTTGAAATTGACTGATTGATTAAACCTTTTTTTTTTGTACACAGCGGCAGAGGCCTAAAGCGAAAAGGTTTTATAAAACCCAACTGAAGGCCTAGGACTGGGGCGATGGCACACATGCCCACAGAGAGGGCTCTGAGTGCCGCCTCTGGCACCCATGCCATATTTTTGCCACCACTGATATACAGCAATAGTTAGCAAAGCATTCATCTTAGTTGAAATCTTTTTTGTTGTTGTTTCTTAATTTGTTTTTTAACTGAATTATGTTTAACATGGGCTACTCAGAAATATTCCAGAAATAGGTAGGAGCTGCATTCATTCTTCAGGAGCAGACAGATGGTCTGGAAAAGTGTGCAATATTTTTATGTCATTAGACTCATTTCTACATCAGATTGCAATGCCAGCTAGAATGCTTCCTGGATATGGATAACCTAATCACAAGGTGTCATGGATTAGTAACCTCATATCTTCATTATTGTCATGTGCTGCTGCCCTTATGGATAGTGTGGGATAGGTACCTAGCCACTGTCCTCCAATAGTATTACTGAAAGACCTGGATTAGGTTGTTTTCTACTGAGCCAATTTTAAAATGTTGATATTAAAGACCATTAGGGGACTGAAGACTAAAACATATAAGGAATGGTTGCTGGAATTGGGTATGTCTAGTTTAATGAAAAGAAGTACTAGGGGTGATATGATAGCAGTATTCCAATATCTCAGGGGCTGCCACAAAGAAAAGGGAGTCAAGCTATTTTCCAAGGCGCCTGAAGGCAGGACAAGAAGCAGCAGATGGAAACTAATCAAGGAGAGAAGCAACCTAAAACTAAGGAGAAACTTCCTGACAGTTAGAACAATTAACCAGTGGAACAACCTGCCTCCAGAAGCGATGAATGCTGCAACACTGGAAATTTTTAAGAAAAGACTGGACAGCCATTTGATTAAGGTTGAAGAAGGAGAATATAAATGGGAGAAGGGAAGATCAAAGAAATATATCATTAATTAATATACTAATTATGGAATTATCAAACCTAATCATTATTGATTGTTAATTAATTATTATTGTCCTTTTTTCTTGTTAAAATATAAACCAAGACAACATGCTGTACACCAGGCACTGCAGATTGTTATAGTTAAAAACCAATAAAATATTTATAAAAAAAATAAAAAATAAAATGTTGATATTAAAGTATGAAATTCTAGACACCTATTCCCACATTCACACTGTCTGGAAATTCTTAGCATGATGGAAGAATTTAACAGTTTAAAACATATAGGTGAATGAGCTATCTTACTACTATTTGCATTCTCTTTTCTCTCAGCTTAATAAATTTTTGGTCACTGACCCAGCATTACAGGTTGGTTATTCCATCTCTGAATGTTATATTTTTCCTTGTTGCTTAAGGTGAAGGCCTGTAGTTTAGTGGATTGTCCATAATAATTTGCCCAAATAATCTGTTGTTATATGTGTGTGTGTGTGTGTGTGTATGTGTGTGTGTGTGTGTATGCAATAACTTCACAATTTCATATGCTCACCTCTTCCTGTGTTCTGCTAGAAAAACTCTCTTTCCGCCCACCCTGATAGATGAAGCATCTAAAGTTCTTTTGTGTCTGAAGCCTTGGAAAATCTTACTTGCAACTGTATAATGTTACTATTTTGTCTGCACGGCTTAGCTCTAGACCCATAATTACAAGATCACTTTCCATGATTTGTAACTTCTTCTCATTAAAGCACTGGATTTAAAATGGGTTCTTTTGCACTTAACCTTTCTGCAAATTCAGTCTCATTCTGGTCTGATATTCAGATTACTGATACTCACTGGGATAATATAAGGTTACAATACTTTCTGAAATATATACACAGATGATAAAGTGCCAGACTTTTATTGGGAAAATGGTATTCCATTATTCTTATACTTTTCTTTTTCTATGCCGCTCTTAACAGCCATCCTTTGATGTCAATCGTGCAAAATTGGTTCAGTTGACAAATTTGCTTTCTTCAATAGAGGATAAGGTACAGTGGCCTTTAGATATCTCTATGACTGCCACTTAATCTTCAGATGTAGTATATCTTCTTATTTAAATACTTTTTATTATTTTATTTTTTAAAAATAATCTATTTTAAAAAATGTCCCACTATTTCTTATATGATCTGTAATCTTCCTAACAACTCATATGCCAAATTGCCAAATCTGCATTTTAAAAACTAGTTACTCATTTAGGAGTTTTTATTCTGTTGTGTGTAAATTAACTCAGAAAATAACCTGGTCATGTCATATGCATTTAAAGTTCTTAGAGATGCTGGAGACTGGAAATTGAGGATAAGCATTCATTACTTTATTATATGAGAATTGATCTTCATACAGTTACAGTTGTAGCTGGAAGAAGTTAGAATGTGTTTTTTTTTCTTTTCGATTCATTGACCATTGTCATGGCTAAATCAGTCAGTTTATTTATAATTAGTATAATCTATTGTACAGGTTACAATAAAGTAACCTGTACAAAATCTCCTAAAGTCTCCTTCTGTTGAAGTTTGAGATTGTCAGGTAGAACTATTCATTCTTATATTTTTACAGGTGAAAAGAGTATTGATTGAGGGGTCAGATTCAACACATCGACGTTCACTTATCCCTCCTGTTACCTTTGAGGTGAATTTTAAGTATTATCTTGTCACATAGAGAATTATTTATAATTCTTGATACAATGCTCTCACCTATTAAAAAAATAAACCATGTTCATACTGAAAGTGTGAAGTGTGCTAAGGCAACACTTACTCATTGAAGAAATGTTTAACATAATGTTAATATTAATTAATATATAATTAATATAATGATAGTATTAGAGGGATAACATCACAATCACGTGAAGTTCTAGTACTGTTTTACAAAGCCTTAGTAAGACCACACTTGGAATACTGCATCCAGTTCTGGTCATCACAATATAAAAAAAGTGTTAAGACTCTGGAAAGAATGCAAGAACAGCAACAAGAATGATCGGGGCTGGAGGCTAAAACATATGAAGAAAGTTTACAGGAATTGGTTTTATCTAGTCTAATGAAAAGAACAACTAAGGGAGACATGATAGCAGTGTTCCAATATTTGTGGGGCTCCTACAAAGACGAGGGGGATCAAACTCTTTTTCCAAGCACCAAAAAGCAAGATGAGAAACAACGGGTGGAAACTAACCAAGGAGAGAAGCAACCTAGAACTAAGGAGAAATTTCCTAATGGTGAGAGCAATCAATCAATGGAACAGCTTGCTTTCAGACGTTATGCATGCTCCACCACTGGAGGCTTTCAAAAAGAAACTGGACAACCATTTATGTCAAACTTGCCACGTCATGTGACGTATCATGGTGTATCGTGACTTTTTTTGCATTGCCGGCAATGGGGTGGGCGCAGCTTTGGTATGATGAAACTGGCCCGTGGGCTGGCAGTTTTGAATTTTATTTATTTGTTTGTTTGTTTGTTTACATTTATGTGGCCTCCCAATTTGCTCTGAATGACTCCAGGAGGCTTACAACAAATTTTGATAAGAGCTACCTATTTTCTCTGACAGGTGCTAATCCAGCTTGAAATGAAGGAGAGCTGAGGGACATTACATTGTCAGTCCTGGAGCCTGTGTTTTTGCTGTCCCTGTGGACAGGACTAATAAAGTTTCTGTCACTAATTGCATTTAGCCAGTTTTGGCTAATCTTTTTTTTTTATTGAAAATTTTTATAAACTTTTTACAATAAAATACTCCCCATAACCCTCCCCCATAACCCTCCCCCCCTTCCCAGAGCTGAATACAGGGTTAAAGAAACAAAAAACCCCATACAAATTAAATGAACATCAATCCACTATACATACATCCCAAAAAATTTAAAGTACTTTAACTCCAATACATAGAAACTACAAATCCAACCATACCCAATTTAAACTATAAATTATTCAAAAGCTAAATAATACTTCCTAATCCCATATTTATTCTGTACAAAATTTACCCATCTTTTCCACACCGAAATATCTCTCTCTTGTGAATGGTCTTTCAGATAAGCTGAAATTTTTGCCATTTCTGATAAATGAGAAACTTTAAGAAACCATTCTTCTATAGTAGGCAAGGAATCCTTCTTCCAATATTGCCGTGGGCCGGCAGTTTGACACCCCTGGTATAGGGCCTCCTGCTCGAACAGAAGGTTGGACTAAAAGACTTCAAGGTCCCTTTCAACTCTATTATTCTATGTTCTATGTTATGTCTCTGCAAGTTAGCCATATAATATGAAAAGTATGTATAAATAACATTTCTTCTGTTATAGGTGAAAGCAGATTGTCTTGGGATTTCTTCCAAGATTCATCTTAAAGTTGATGTTGAGATGGGAAAACTTTTTATTAAGAAAGCTAAGGATGGTCCTGAAGATAAGTTCTATAACCACAAAAAAAGTGAGTGGGTGGATCACTTGCCCCATTTGCATTTATTCAGCACTTTTGCTGACCTGGGAACAACGATACTATTTGAGGAATTACATTTTTTTTCAGGTTTGCTTTAGACATAAATGTTGAATATGCAAATATATGACTGCAGAGGTTACACTGTAACTTCCTAATACTTTTATAGTGAACACATTCAGATAGTATTTTGATTGAGCAATGGACACAGGCATGCACACTTGAAAGTGAAATTTCAAGTGAAGTAAGTGCCTTAGCAGTTCAAAAAGAAGTCTGCTTTCATTATAAATGGTTGTTACATTTTGTGCCTTCAAAAGAGAGAAGATTGGTGATTTTGATTGGTGATGATAATTTTCTTTCAGTAATCAGACTAAAACTGCAGGTGATAAAGAAATAAACTTATTGTGGCATTATCTAAGAACTAGCTCTAAAGAGAAATGTAGGTTACTTCTTACTTCTGATTGCTGTTCCATCATAGAATCATAGGAAGGAGCAGGGCTTTTTTCTTACAGAATGCCTAGAACGGAGTTCCGGCACCTTTTTGGGATGGAACCTTGTAGGGTAGCCAAGGTGGGTTGTATGACGTGTGTGAGTTCCGGCACCTTTTTTTTTTTTTTTAGAAAAAAAGCACTAGGAAGGAGGTAGAATCTACAGTATTCTAAATCTTGGTAAAAAGAAATAATATGGTACAACAGGGAGACTAAAGTTAGTTCTTAATTCCTACTTCTCTATTTTATTTAAAGGTTGAAATGAAACATGAGAATAATATGGATTCTCTGAATAAGTGTATCGTGAACTATGAAGAACTTTAGAGGAACTGATATGGAGCAATCAGTTTGTGACATGAACATATAATTTAAAGTGCTCTAACAACCAAAGCAGTATCTAAATTCTTATTTTATGTTCAGCTGTTCATTTTATTCCTGGTTTGATAGACATATATGTTTATATTATGGAGTTTTAAAATTTCCCTAGTAGGTGTTGGAGAGCAACTGTCCCAGTCAGGAGGAGGGATCAAATGGGGAATTAGCATGCTTTGAAGGTGATCACCCAGTATTTTGCTACTCTGTGTCAAATGTAGATTTTCTCTCTTTGCTGGTGCAAGCAAGGCAGTCCATTAGGACTGCTGTATTTCGTTCTATCTTATACAAATGCCTCAGTTGCAAATGGTGGCGTGTATTCTGGCAAGTATGCCTTGCCCATGCCTTGGCTATTTTCTACTGGTGTAATGAGCTGCCTGCTGAGAAACGACATGTCCTTCTCCCATCAGTGCAAATAGTAAAATAATGAAAAGCCATTTTTTTCTTTGTTTAGCAGGTTCAGCAGAGAAAGGCCATTTCTTTATTGCCTCCACAAAAGTTATGCCTAGAGAAGGGGGAAATGGTGATACTGGCTTTCCTGGTTTGGCTAAAAAGGGAAAAGAGGATGGGGGAATCCCCCAACCAGGAACTGTGTTGCTGCAATCCAGAGAGAACACTTGGTCATCTTTATGGCCAAAGTTGGGATGTACATTTTTAATCATGATTAAATTTTATTCTGTAGCTGTGATTATAAAGCAAAAGATTTTTCAACTGAATGAACACTGTAGAAGAGTTAGGCTGGCAATGATGGGAACAGCCTTTTCTAGCCTGGTGTTTGGCACTTATAGATCCTCTTCAGCCTGATTTTGGCTTGGCTTTGAAACAGAAAGTGCTTTGATTGCCCTGTGAAATGACCTTTGATAAGAAAAAAAATAGAAAGGTATATGCCTCTTGGTTCTTTGAGATCTTTCAGCTTAATACTATCAATCATGGTCTCATTTTATTTATTTAAGTAACTGTTCAAAAAGAACAGAAACAAAAGAAAAAGCAGAAAAAAGCCAAATAATAAAAAGAAAATTGAAAGAAGATTTATAAGCAATATAAGATGAAATAAAAATTTCAACGTAGCACCAAATTAGTTCTGCTTAACTCTATCACTCTGGACTGAGTTAGGTGACTGTTTGTCACTGGTCATGTAAAAGCTGAACCACTCTGCTCTCCTTTCTGCAGTAGGTAATATAGTATCAGAGTAATTGACACAGAGTGAAAAAAGGTGTTTCCAGAAAGTGATAATGGGGGATTATAGTTCTGCTTTGTGGTATTTGCTCAGAACTCAATTTTAGTCCCAATGTTACTTTATATTTTACATGGAACCTCTTGAGATAAAGACCCAGGATTGTATTGCCATTAATAAGCAGATGAGTTATTTTGGATCACCTTTTATTTTTATTTTCCAGTTTTGTTTGCATTTTATGTTTTAATTGTTATTTTTCTGAAGTTTTAGATTTATCTTAGTAACTGTCTAATCTTTCCAGAACATTGATTATTGCACAAATTATAAATGGAATAAATAAGAGTTAGCAAAACTACTGGAATTCTCAGTTACAAAACCAACAGCTAAGAACTTGTTAGCATTCAGTATAATAACTCCACAAGCCTGGAGAGGACTTACATAAATAGAACATTTGGAGTGGTCCAAAGCTTACTGAGGGTGCATATGGACTTTTTAAATAAAACAAAAAATTTGGAAGTTGAAATAAGTAATTGAGAATCCATTTTCCCTCAACTGATAGTTGAAAAGCGATCATGTACCAAGGTTGTTTAAACAAAACACTGAATTGGTCTGGATAATAAAGCACAAAGTAGAAGTGTTACTATCTTTAAGGCATTTTTGAAGGGAGGCAAATATGCAGTTTTGAGATATTTCATTAATATATTGATTCCATTTTTACCATTAATTCAAACTAGGGTCTGCCAGCAGAAAAAACAAATCAAGAATATATATATAGGTTCCCTTAGTGTTTTCATAAACAATACTTCATTTAATTGTTCTCAATTTGATTACCTTTAATTCATATGCATTTCAACACTGAACATTTCTGTCTACCATTTTATACTTTATTTACAATATTCCCATGTGATGCTTCCCAGAGCAAAAGACGCTTTAAAGCAGCTTTTCTCACTCTTGGGACCTAAGATGCTGCTCTTCCTTCCTCAGTACCAAAAGCCTTTCTTCCAGAGGAGAGCTGCAATACAAGTTTGTTGCTGTATTGATCGAGTGATTTGTATGGCCTCACAAGACATTAGGCAGTGAACAAAATTTTAAAAAGTGAAAACAATTGAAATAATATAAGAATTAAAATACATGTCAACTGAGATCTTTTATGGTCACCAAAACCACTGAATTATGATTCAGAATAATAGATTCTGAAACCATTTACACTTTTATACAGGATGGCCTAGCCTGAAAAGAGGTTTATTTTCAGTATTTGCACATCTTTCATCTTCGCAGCTGCTTAAGGAGAAGAGATTCCAGAGATTTCCTTAGGAAGCTGAACAGAAATTGGATGAAATCCAGATCTGGGTTTTACAGTATCTTTTAATTTATGTAGGATGTAACATTATCAATCTTCACTACACATATGCTTTATATCTGCTATGTTTTACAACTCTTACTCAATATAGATTCATTAATTAAAATATGAATCATATAATAGGAGGAAAAATTGAAAACTTCAGGCCTTTGTATGTAATGCTATTATTTTAGAACAGTAGCATTTCAGCATTGTAGCATACTACATATCTCTTGATGAGGGAAGATAATAGGCACTTTTAGTACACAAATGGACAATCCAACTTGTATAAAGTATTCTGGAGTATAACTAAGAATCCAACATACAATACTTAATATTATTACAATCAGTAAGCATTCCCCTGCCTGTAACTTCTTTTTATCTGATCTGGGTAATAGTGCAATATGTTTAGTTCAGTCTTTTTTTAAATCTATTTTAGCAATCGTGATTGTTGTAGCAATCCTACAAGTAGAATTGCTATTAAAGTTTGTAAACTTTTATTTCTTTCAAAGTGATAAGTTGCCCTGGCAACTTGTCAGTTGTCTAGTCATCTACAAAAGATAACAGTGTGTTGTCTATATCTAAGGCTGTCTAACTTTACATTTTTCCTTTCCACCTTTTCCACTTTTCCATCAAAATGATTTTTTCCACGTATGTAATATACAGACTATGCATGGTACTTTAGCAGCAACTGATGCATTGGGGGTTGGGGTCTGTGTACAGAAAATCCCCACTCAGTTATACTTGCCTGTCACATGGTAACCTGTGTAGGAAAAAATACTGATAAGTGGATTGTTTGGCAGGGACAGGCTGAGCCAGATGTGGGCAAATCTCTTTTGATTTAGTGGGAAATCCCCAGCACCAGATCCACAAGGATGATGGGACAGTTGCCTGGGCAACTTAAGTTGATCCACACTAAACTGTTAAAGAGGCAGAGACTAGGAACCAGAAGTAGGAATATAGCATTTTTATGCTGGCATACTTTCTGTTGCTTCCTAAACTGTAGAAAAGCACTTTAAACCAGTTGTCTCAATGTACCCAAATCTAAGTCAACCACTCTGAGCTCTGTCACTGATTACGGCCTCTCTACCCATTTTTCAATCAGCAACATATTAAGCTCTACAAATACAGTATCTTGCTCTAATAAATGATATGTTTAACATTTATCTTGGGATGCAAAATGGAGAATTATTGCATGCAAGTTATTTTACTATTGAGAAATAGTAAAGTTGTCAGATGGCTGTTTTGCTATGTCCCTACTAGCATGGTTCTCTTCTAATGTGAATTGTTCCTTTAATTGGAGTTTAGATTTGAGTTTAGTTTCTGCTGGTTGTAAAAAATGCATATTAGTAACTTTCCTATTCATTAATGCTGACTTCTGTGACAATCTCATATCTTTGTATGAAATGGTGAATTGATACTGTTTGTGTAAGATATATGACTCATTCAAGAGTTCTCCTAATTAGGCAATCTCACAGTTTAATGAACAGAAATTATTCCAGCATTCAAATGAGGCTTCAAAACTACAATAGATTTGCACCTGAGGCTTAGTTCTGAGTCGCTGTCAATTTTTAAAATGCCTCTCATAGTGCAGTAGGATTGGATTGTGCAACTCAAGTTCTAAGAGGAGAGACATATTATTAGCATGGACTCTTTCAGTTTCAAAATTTCTAAGATTGACTTAGTTTTTGCTTCTGTTTAGTCCTACAGCTCATCAAGTCTCAGAAGTTTCCTAACAAGCTGGTCATTGTACTGGAGACAGAAAAAGAAAAAGCACAAAGGAAAGAATATGTCTTTGCTGACTCTAAGGTAAAAGGCTTATATAGGCTTATATAGCCCAAGATAAGGTAACAAGAGCTCTTATCTCATTGTGATGTCAGTGAATTGGCAATCTTATCTGTAACATGTGCCTTTGCATATATATAATAAGGTTGCACATTTGTGCTGGGGCTCTACAGTATTCTACCAGAACATCAGCTAATATGGAAGCATTTGCATGTCTTAAAAACTCCCTATTGCAGATATTTTATCCATCAAGATCAGCTCTCTACACTGTCTTAGGAAAGGAACTATTCATACTCATGGTATGGAGATCTGAACAGGTTTAAGGTATTCCAACTTTATAGCATCCCAGTATGACTGACATCATAGGCTTCTGATTGGGCTGTACTTCAACTATTATTTTAAAAAAGTGCTTGCTCATAATATATTCCATCTCTCTCTCTCTCTTTCTGTGTTTATGCCCACTCAAAACAGAAAATCTGAACACATTTTTTTTTCTTATTTTGTTATCCATGGAAAGAAACTCCAAGTACATTCGGAGAATATTTCATCAATAGAATAATACCATAAAAATAATACCATCTCAATACCTGTTCTGTTCATGAATGCAAGAAACTAATTTGGATTCAAATTCTAATAGATTAAACACAACAAAATCAAAAGTTTTATCTCAGCAGTTTACTAAAATTCTTTGAACAGCTATCATACCATAAAACTAACTATAAAGGAAGGATTTGAACCTATCTAAACATTTCTGTGTTTAGCATTTTCCCCAGCTTCTAAATAATTAAAAATAGTCTTAACTATCAATTGAAATGTTATCAAATCAAAGAGATCATTTACAAGTTGCTACTCTTCTGGACACATGTCATTGTGAAAGCATTTTTTTCAGCTTACATGTAACAAATGAAGGGGATCTGAATTAGTTATATTTCTTTTTTCTTTTGTTTTTTTACTCTTCTATTTTTCAGAAAAGAGAAGGCTTCTGCCAACTTCTACAGCAAATGAAGAACAAGCATTCTGAACAACCAGAACCTGACATGATCACCGTCTTCATTGGGACCTGGAATATGGGTATAAATTTCAATTCAAATTTACGTCCTAGCCTTTTCTATTCAAATTACTGTCCTATCAAAAAAGAGGAAAATCAGAGATAGGACAGGTCTCTGTCAGATTTTCTGCACATTATAACTATCAACTTGTAATAACATCAGATGTGTAAAAAAAAATCTGGTCTACTTTATTGTCTGCCTTAGTACAATAAATATTTGAATCTGGCAAGCTTATTAGAGATTCTTTTTAAAAAAAACAAAAATTTTCTATTTATATATATATAAAATGGTTCCTGACATAACTGAGCCTTTCTATTAATCTTCTCCTATTTTATGTAGATATTAATATAAATTGCCAGAAAATATTTTCTGTAATTCACACTGCATTCCTCTGATAATGTACTATTCCCTAATGTAGCTTCTTTTTCCAGTGTCAATAACACAATGCTGTTCTTTAGAGAATAGCATATTTTCTTTTCAGAAGTGTGTGCCTATGCATGTTTGTGGATATTTTTGAATGGGAAAGGACAAAAGCTATCTAGACTTTTTTTGTTGTTAACATTTGTGTTGGTGTGGAATCTTCTGAAAGCAGAATGCTCAAATCTGCTTATAATATTGATAAAAATTATTTCCTACAACCCTATCACAGATTTTCCAGCTACTCTCACTGTTATATTGCCCAACTGTTTTAAGATTAATGTACTGTAACATATAGATGATCCCTTACTCTTCTTTTGCATGGCAGAATAATCAGAGCTAATTCACAGCCTTGTGGGCTTCTTTCCTCCGATTTGTTCCTGATTTGTTTTAAAATTGGATAGCAAAATAAAATAAACTGCAAATTTTATACAAGCTGGTTGATTCTCCTCCCTTTGCCATTTATTTAATTATGAAACTATCTGTTGAGAAATGCAAGGGTACCCTGTTCAACAGCAATAAAGGTAGAATAAGGCAATAAATAAATACTTCCATATATGGTTATGTCCATAATCAAATGGGATTCTACATATCATATATTTCTTTAGGTGGATGTGAAAATAGCAATCGCAACAGCACTTAGACTTATATACTGCTTCACAATGCTTTACAACCCTCTCTAAGTGGTTTATAGAGTCAGCATATTACCTCCAGCAATCTGGGTCCTCATTTTACTGACCTCGGAAGAATGGAAGGCTGAATCAACCTTGAGCTGGGGAGAATTGAACATTTTAACCACTGTACCACCACAGCTCATAATGCAGTGTTCGTTCTAGTTTTAATACCTGAATATTATCAAATAGGACTATAATAAGTTTTTTTAGAGGAAAGTTGGGGAATATAATTTATGGTCCTCTTGCCTCATTTTGCAGTTTTTTGTAGTTCTGTTTTTAGTTACTTTTTAAGGCCCCCAAACTGGTTGATAGTTTTAATGCAACTCACTTTATTAAATATAATAAACGGGAGGTCTCAGTTGCATAGATTTTTCATTCATATCCCTCCATAGTCTACCACGCATTCTGTGATATTCAGAGGAAAAAAAGCATATGGCTTAAAAGTGAACCAGTACTAGCGTCAAAGAAGATTGTCCAACCCTAATAAAGACTGAGCTAGATTCATTATTATAGTAGTTTCTTATGCTCATTTTGGTTTGGGATTTGCTAATCAAGGTGATGCTCCTCCACCAAAGAAGATCAGTTCCTGGTTTCTCTCCAAGGGACAGGGTAAGACCCGTGATGAGACAGCTGACTATATTCCACATGACATCTATGTGATTGGAACACAGGAAGACTCCTTGGGGGAAAAAGAATGGCAAGAGATTCTAAGGCATTCCTTACAGGAGATTACCACTATCAGCTTCAAAGTGGTAAGAATTTTTATTAATGTTTAAAATTATGGTTGGGGAGTAGATTGTTCTATTATTTCACGCAAACAACAATCATTACCTCCAAAATTCATCTGTATTTGCTTTTTTGAAATGATACATTAGATGTTCCTAAAGACCACTAGATATAGTGATAAAATCCTCAAATCAAGCTCAACATGTGACTTCATGGACATATAGTTTCCTTGCCAAGGAAACCGTAAAGGATCTGGATGGAGCAAAATAAGCTCCACCTGAGCTAGTTCCAAAATGGACTCACTATTCATCAGCAAATATTTGAGCAATCCAGTAACATTAGTCCTGATAGTTACTAAGGATGGAGTTATAATCCATTGAAAGACTTAATTCATGATCTAGGATCCTGCTGACCCTTGGGTCATGCTACAACAGCAGGTGAAAGTCATGGCCTTGGAGTCCTTTGGCTAGCTTCAGCTGGAGCACCAGTTAAAAATCACTTGAATCAACATGATCTGGTGACAGTAATTCATGACCATCACCTCTAAGGTATGTAACATGCTGTGGAGTTACCTGTGGAAATGATTCCAAAGCTGCAACTGGTGTAAAATGCAGTTGCAAGATTGCTAACAGGTTAATCTTAACAAGTGTAGAATGATATGATTTTTAAGTCACTGAACTGATTACCAATAGATTTCCAGTCTTTACTCAATGTTCTTTAAAACCCCTTTTAGAGTAACCCTGGATTACATCAGATAATAACTTGCTTAGAGCCCATTTATCTGGTATGGATAGAGAGAGAGAGAGCCTGTTAAAGTCCTCCATTGTTGTGAAGTACCTTGTATAGGGTATGGAACAGGTGACAGGCCTTCTCAGTGGTGACCCCCACTTTGGAAAAACACATATTTATCCCTGGATATGGTGGTTCCAATTCTCCTTGGCTTTCAGAAAGAAGTGAAAAGTATTCTATTATATCATACTTTGTATTTTGTTGTGTTTGGGTGGTTATCATTAAGATTTATCACTATTGAAATGTAATTCCCTGAGCCTGGGAATTAGAAATCTATCTTATAAACAGATAGCTAGCTCCCATTAAATCAAGAGAATCAAAGGCATTAAAGATGACTTCCCTTAATAGACTCACTGATTAAAAGAGAACTTAGCAATTATCATTGCTATTATTGATTGTCTTGAGTAATTTGATTTGAGAACTATTGTTCAGTGCCCAAAGACCATATGGACCACTAAGGCAACCAATAAACAAACAATATGGAAGAAAATTCCCATTGTTGCTTCTGGGTTGCTTTCAGATCATAAATATATCAATTTATTTTGATCATTAACCACACAAAGTAAATGCAAGAGTAGATCTACAGATGAAACTAAGGTTAAAAGAAATCATAGAAGGCAATTATAAAATAATTTTAACTAAAAGAAATTTCAGTTGAAATACATCGAAAAATAGAGAGCCACCAGACTAGAAACCAGGAGACTGAATTCTAGGCTCATCTTAGGCAGAAAGCTATTGGAAGGACCTTGAACCAATCACTCTCACTTAGTCTAGGGAGCAGGCTATGGCAAATCACTTCTGAAAAATCTTGCTAAGAAAACTGCAGGGACTTGTCCAGACAATCACCAGGAATCAAAAATTGACTTTTACTAAATATATACAATATGCTTTGTTTTTCAAGATTAATGAAGTGCCTAATTAAATTTTCCAACTTCATATACCTCAAATTGCCTAGTTAGATAATAGCACCTAACCAACTCTGCCTGTTTTTAATACAGGTAGTCCTTGACTGATAACCACAATTGAGCCCAAAATTTCTGTTGCTAAGGGAAACAGTTGTTAAATTAATTTTTGCCCCATTTTATGTCCTGTCTTGCCACAGATCACTGCATTTGTTAAGTTAGTAACATGGTTGTTAAGTAAATCTGGCTTCCCCATTGACTTTGCTTGTCAGAAGGCTGCAAAAGGTGATCACGTGGCCCTGGAACAATGTGACCGTCATAAATATGAGCCAATTACTGAGCATTTGAATTTTGATCACATGCAATGGTAATAAGTCACTTTCTTCAGTACCATTGTAACTTTGAATGATCACTAAATGAAATATTGTAAATCAAGGACTACCTGTACACAAATAGCAAAATAGTATGCAGTAGTATGATAAAATTGCTTTTATCATTCAGCTAAAATTTTAGTTAAAACATGGCTCCATTATCATAGTGGGACTATGTACTGGGATTCATTCCACAATTCTTAAATGAAAAATATTTATATTTCAGCATTTTGCTTCTGTTCAGTACATTGTTTCTGTACGTAATTGGTTCTCATTAGAATTCTGATCTCAAGAATATTGTAAAAACTCAATATATGTTGCTGGAAAATGGTTATGTATAGGTCCCTAGTTATTGTAATCCAGATACCTAGATTTAATTTTACTTTTTTAAAAAATTAGATAGCAACCCATACTCTCTGGAACATCAGGACTGTTGTACTGGCAAAACCTGAACATGAACATCGCATAAGCCACCTCTGCATTGATACTGTGAAGACTGGAATTGCAAACAGGCTGGGTAAGATTTGGGCAGACACCCAAAAAGGCATTTTAAATTGCTATTTTTCAGATGTTGGCTCTCCTATTCTATAAAATAAACTAGAACAAAGTTTTTTAATATATAGGTCTCTAGTTATTTACTTATGAAATTGCAAACAAATAAATGTTTATTCATTTATTCAATTTATATGGTCAACCATTTTCGTCTCACTGGGTGGCTAACAGTTCATTAAAAAAATAAAAACACAAATCCAATTTAAAAGCTAAAGCCACTAAAGAATACACAAAGTGCCAAGGCCTACAAAAAACATGGTATCATACAGTCTGATTCAACTAAGTTTATGGCCCCAGCACCTGGAGGAAGAATCATGTGTTTAAAGTATTTCTACTATTGGGGCCATTCAAATTGCAGGGGAAACACTGTTTTGAACAGCAGTTGCCGTAACAAAGAAGGCACAACAAAAGGATCTGAAGCTTGTCTGAAGTATGCCAGATCTAATGAGAGGAGCAGAGAAAATTGGAGATTGGTGATCTGGTAGATAATTGCATGCAATGGAAGATTTTATAAGTGACAACCAGCACCGTGAATTGCACCCATGAGATGGGTCCAGTACATCTCATGGAGTTATGGTATTTTAAGATTATACTGCATTGTGCATCAAACTGCCTTTTCTGCTTCATTCCAAGCCTTCCAGTTTAGGAATATACTCAAATTAGCACATAGTGTTGTGCAAACAACCCACATATTGTGAACCAACTCTACTGATAGAAGGGGACCCCAAAGCCCATAATTACTTAATCTTGCTAGGGTTATGCTGAAGCCTTACCTACAGCTTCTAAGTATCAAAAAAGAACATCAATAGCATAACTTGGTTGATCAGGAACAGAGATTTATAATTATGTACCATCAGTACTGATTATACTTTATCCCATGAGGTCAACCGATTATCTCACCTAGTGATTTCATGTAGATCAGCGGTTCTCAACCTGTGGGTCGCGACCCCATTTGGGGTCAAATGACCATTTCACGGGGGTCGCCAAACAACGCGATCCGCCATTTTTTTCGTCAGCCGGCACATGGGGTGGTGCTGCGCATGCACGCCGCGCAGGGGGCGGCACCGCACATGCGCACAGTGCAGGGGGCGGCACCACACATGTGCACATGCAGGGGGTGGTGCAGGAGCCGCCACCGCGCATGTGCGCTGCACAGGGGGCGCATGGGGGCGCCACGCATGCGTGTCACGCAGGGGGGGCGCCGCGCATGCGTGCCACGCAGGGGGCGGCACCGCGCATGCGCGCCGCCTGCTTATGACCGGGGTCACCATATAAAAAGGTTGAGAACCACTGATGTAGATGTTTAACATAGCTGGAAGAGAACAGAGTCTAAACCACTTTACAAAGACAAGCCTTGAGCTAGATCTCTCCCTACCACTAGTACTACTGGAACCAGCCTCTAAGTAGGAGAAAAATCACTGCGTAATGGTACTACCCATTATCAATCCACTAAATCAGGCTTTTCAATCGATTGTACACGTACCATTTGTGGTATATTAACTAGTAGCAGGTGGTACACAGCCCTGCCTAGCCAAGTGTAGTGGGGGAGGGAAAGAGCCAGTGCAGGCAACGACTTACTGTGAGAGAATCCTCTGGAGCTGCAAAGTGGCTGGGGCGAGGCAAAGGCCCAGGCTCATTTCTGGCTCACCCTCCCCCATGAGAAAGGAGGAGGAGCAGGTGGGGCGGAGACAAGAGAGGCTATAAAAGGAGGCAGTTTGGGTGGGAGAGAGAGAAAGAAAAAAAGAAGCAGCCTTGGGAGGAGGTGGAGTCAGCTGTACCGAAGGGGAAAGAGGAGGTTGGGGGAGAGGGGAGAGGAGATCAAGCAGGCCAGAGATTGAGCAGATCTACAACTTCTGTGGCAGCCACCTGTGCTGGCAGCAACAAACAGACAAGAAATGCAGCAGAGGAGGGTAGCATCAGCTGGAAAGGTTAAAAAGCTCTGCACTAAATTGTCCTTAAAAGACAATTTTACTAAAGACGAGGACAATATTGGTTATCTCCATAAAAACTGGAACTAGATTTGGAATATCTTTATTAAACTGGGTATTCAACAAATGAGCCAGTTCAGTTGGAAGTTATCATTAACATACTTTTAAAAATATTTTATACTACAAAAATAAACCAAAGTTCTATACAGGAATATCTTTTGTAATTCAGTCTTTAGTGATAGAGCAACTCAAGCTCATAACACTATATTTTTGGATATATTTTTGGATTCAAGGAATCTCATACTGACATAGAGTTCCATTTATCCTGCTGATCAGATTCATTCATGGAAAATTCCATGGTTAGAAAACTGCTGCTGGAGTTTTCCTTGTGTCCCTGTTAATAGAACCCATAAGGCTTTTAGACAAAATATTATTATAAGAGATGTCGGGCCCCAAGAGCTAAGAAAGACATGTAGAATTACTTCTGAACAGTTTCTTCTATTATTTGTCACCTATAGACAGAAATTTTGCAAAACTAAGCAAGTATTTGCATAATTAAAGATATATACTGAGAATTGCTAGGTCAGAACCTTCTTAACTCTCTTTCTCCCAACAAACTACCTAAGTTTTGCTGTCTCATTGCCTTCTGGAATGGAGCCCCTCCTTTCTGAGAGTCCATTCCATCACATCAGGAATTGGGGCTGATGTAAATTAGTGTTGGATTTTAAGACTCACTAACTGCTCTAAATTGTGAAGATGGCCCTAAACCAGGCAATTGAGCTGTTCTGTCTGTACACTTCAATCTAAGTCTTCCCAGTTGACCCGTCCTCATGATCTATCCATCACATTGGTTCTTCATATAACCTGAGCTAAGTTATGATTATAACTTTAATTCTTTGCTTCTGAAAATCTAAAAAAAAACATGATGTGCTTCATTTTAAAATGTCTTATTTTAATAAAAAAAATATTAACCAGATGCAGAAATTAAAAATAAGTAGAAAAAGTAAAAAAAATTGAATTAAAAAAGCATAATAGAAGAAAAAGATATAAAACAAAAAGTTCAATCCTTAAATAGCAAGCTAAATGTTGACTACAAGGGGGAATACTAAATCAGGCTCTCTAAAACATCAGTAGAAAATTAATTAATTTGCAAGTTTCCCATATATACCTTTTTGCAACTAAAATAGGATATAAGTGCCTATGAAGATACTATTTGGGATACAATAATAAAATAATAAAAAAATCTGTTTATGGTTCCCATAGCAATTGGTGAGATGTGGAGTTGTTTTCCTAATTACAATTTTCCATGGAACTCCGTTGATGCCACTCTGGTAGATTTTTTTAGATGCATTTTTTAATGAAATATATCTACCCAAGGTTTATAAATGGTATGCTATATACATACAGTACATACATATATACATATTACATAATATTCTAATTATTAGAAAAACAGGAGGGCTTTGGAAGGACAGTAGATAATATATAATGTATACATGAGCCAAGACATAATGGGGCAGGGGGAATGAAGCAACCAACCAAAAACTTCATAGGGGTCAACACTAGTTGTCATATTAAGGTTTGCTTCATAGAAGTGCTTCCACAAATCATTACAATCAACAATTGTCTTTAAGTTGAATGATAAATTATATCATTTATGCCTGTATAAATATGATGGGAATCCAGGGATGCTTAGTATCTTTGCAGGTATATGTATCTTTATATTACAGTTTACTTTCAGAAATAACTTTGCAGGAACTATGTATTCAATTAAAATTAACATTATAAAGGATTCTTGGTCTGTTTTCAAAACACTAATAGATTAATGGAGTTTTGTTGAGTGGTAAAGAGAAATTCAATTTTTGCTTTTTAAAAAGTTTTGAGAAAACCTTCAGGAGGTTTCTGTTCCTCGGTTCTGCATCCTCAAAAAATGTTCTAGCTTAAATAGCAAGAGGAAGAATTTATTTTTAAAACTGTTCTGTTTCTTCTTTCGTTTTCTTTTTCTAACAGGCAACAAAGGAGCTGTGGGGGTGTCATTCATGTTTAATGGAACTTCCTTTGGGTTTGTGAATAGCCATTTGACTTCAGGAAGTGAGAAGAAACAGAGGTACATTATTATTGCCTACCTAAGGGCCATCTGAAGCACCAGTTAGTTGCAACTACAGAATTTCCACTGAGTGCAAATGGATAATCAGATTCAAAAAGCTATTAAGTGTGAAGTTTATCACTATGAAGACCAGGGCACTGGACCCTCCTCTTTACTCCCGGTGATGAATTGCTGAAGCCATTTTTCAGAAAAGATACTAGAATATTAATCTCTAGGCATGAGAAATATAGAATCTTTCAGATGTTGCCTTAACCAATATGATCAGTGGTATAGATATGCTGAGAATCAGACTCCCAGAATCCAGATCTAATCCATCATTGTGTTTTCCCAGTGGCTACTAATATCCTTTACTCAGAACAGTAGGATTTAGACCAGCATGCTATGGATCCCACTACAAAAAGTAGTAGATGGGGATGTAATACCTTTCATGAAAATCTAACATCGTTAATGATTAGATTATCTGCAGCCAAATGTTTAATATCTTCCTCCATCTGTCACAATTAGTCAAAGCTTTGGAGGCAGTCATCAAAAACCTATAAAAACTGATAATTAATTGTAATTTTATATCAGTTTTATAGTGGTGGCTGCCTCCACCCTATCATTGGTTGTGCATCTCCGCTACAGGTGATGCTGAGAAACAGTTCTCTTCTATTTTGTTTTTTACTTCTCAGCACCTAGTATTTTTTGAAATAGTAATTTGGCATACTGAACAATGTTCAGTTTTTAAATAAATATCCTTATAATGTCAAGCCTCTCAGAGCCACTTAGGTGAGATGGGCAGTGTAGAAACATGATAAATAAAATAGCACAATCTTTGCATTAGAAAGCTCAGGGAGATTCCAAGGTTGCAGATTTATTAAAATGTCTTTGGGGGAAAATACCATCTAAGGGGAATATAGCAAAACTAAGTTGATGAAATCTGAGCATGATGGGTTATTAGAGGCATCTCAGCTGTGATGTTAGATGTCGTTGCTATGTGACTGACACATCCTTCACCCATCACATACAAGGTTCATAGGATAGGCAACTATAAATTTCACAACTAGGCAACAAAGGTTATTTCTCCAAGAACACAGCACTGAAGATATTACCTCAAGGGTTAAAAAAAAAGTCTGCAAATGAAAACCGTGGTCAGAAAACTCCTAGAATCCAATATCTAAACCTACATTTATTTTCTACAGTTGCAAGACTGAATATGTTTAATATACTTTAATATACTTACTAAGATCACTGTGTTAAGGTGTAATCTAATACATGAGTTGATAGACGATATGCTGCATAAATTGCCTTGGCCCTATTGCCACCAATCTTTATTCTGCCTCAGTAATGAGGCAATTTTAATGTGCGACAAATAATGTGGGATCATGCTACATAAAAGCACATAATTATGTCAGATTTCTTGATTTGGACCCAAATGTGTTGCTTTGGCTTAGGCTGTGCTGATCAAAGCCTGGCATTTGTAAAGAAACATATCTGAAGCAGACTTTAGGAGATGCTGCATTACATTATACCACCATGCTGCTATTTTCTTCCCAAAACAGAACTTTATTCAAATAGTACCCTCGGAAAGAAATAACAGTTTAGAACAACTTTTACCAAAAGCAGTAAAAAGGTGCAAAGACACAAACATATGGAGGAGGAAAATCACTTCCAGGCACTGTGCTCATCAGGACGTGAGCGCAGTGTAATTGTTTTTCCTCTTCCTTTTTTTTTCTTGAAGAGCACTTTCCAAGATATGTTTTTAATATAATACAAAATTAGAACATGTGCTACATATGTAGATTCAAGAAGCCACCTTTAAATATGGAACATACAGAAGGCATTGCAACGGGTTTCTTATTCTTATCCATAGAGACAGTGATTTTTTATTATTATTATTTATTAAATTTGTTTGCTGCTCATCTCACTAAGAAGTGATTCTAGGCAGTTTATAATGTTAACAAGAATAAAATAATATAAAAGATGTATATGACAAGAGTTAAACGCTATAAAAATACACTTCTTTTCTTAACTTCGCTGAATTCAGTAACTGTTCAACAGCCATAGTCAAAATAAAGATGTAAATAAAGCTCTCAAATGTTGGCTAATATAGGCAATCTGTATGCAGTCCATTATGCTGTCTTTTTCAGGACTAAGAAAGTCAGTATGTTACTAAGCATTCCCAGAAAAAACATAGATCATTGAAATTATAGAGTCTCTTCATCAAAGAAAATGCTAGATCATTAAGTGGTGATTGTTTTGCTTTGTTTGTGTTTCCTTTTGCTAAAGGTCAACAGGAAACATTTCTCTTCTAGGACCATTGTATGTCTCAATCATTTAGATTTGTATGTTACATCTATAACTCTTTGGCTCTGTGGAATTGGAACTAGAATTAGATCTAGAATTTCAGCTCATGTGCCTATATAAAGCAAAGCAGATAAGCTGTGTTAAATCACCATACGTTCCCTCCTTTCTATGGCCCAGTTTCAACTTCCTTTCACACTTCCACATTCCCATGGCAACACAAACTGCAGGTCCTTCCTTCTGTCCACTTGGCATGTTCATTGCTTAAAGGGTGGCCTGCATTAGGGGCTGGTTCTGTCTTAAAAGGAAGAAACGAAATTTATCCTCGAACTTGTTTTAGCATAGCTACTCTGATGACCGAAAGTAACTGTCTACTGTTCCTTTTCACAGAGAATGAAATAACATGATGTTTTATTACTTGTTCACACAAGGAATGATCTACAGTCAGAATTTTCTATTCCAAATTTTACTGATTCAACTACTTAGAGATTTGGAAGTATAGAAGAATAGTTAACAAATGGATAACAATTCTTTTTGTGTTCAAATGTGGAGGTCTTCTAGACAAAAGAGCCATTTTGGTAGTTGAGCAGGATACGTCTCCTGTTCATCACATGATACTGACAAATGGATCAGAGGGTTTCTCTCTTTCTTGTAAAAAGAAAAATTTACAAACTTTTTAAGAAACCACAGAAGAAAAAATAGAAAAATATTATAAAAGGAAGAAAAAAAGATATTTAAAGAAGTGACTTCCACCCTTTGCAGCAATTAGAAATATAGTGTCCGTAAATCCTAATAAGAAAAGTTCCAGTTCCATCTGAATGTTAATTTTTAAAACTCTGTGCATCATCATATGTATTTGTGTCCAGTATCTTTTTGCTTTTTTATAAGTCTACGGGTATGATAAAATGTCCCTTCATGTTTTTCACATCGCCAACAGCGATTATAAATATCTTTATACAACTTAGACATTTTCTGCTGTGTCCTATATCAATGGAACATCATTATAAAAAAATTTTCTTTTAAATGGTAAGACAATATGAATTATTGTCTTTTTAAGCAAATCTCCCATTGATCCATTTCAATATTATAACAAACATTTTGCCCATTTTACCATACATTACTTGCTCTTTCTCTATTTGAAATCATGTTCTGAGAGTTCTCAATTGGTGTATATTTTTTAACAACTGACTTTTTGTCAAAATGCTTTTGAGAATGTATTATTTTATTGCAAAACAGTGATCAAATTTTCACAAACACATAGAAAATTGGAGAGGGGAAATTCTAGCAATTTAATATCTTGTGTATATATCTGTGACATATTTGTATTGGGACAGACTTGACTTGAAAGAACTGGGGAGCGGGTAGCAAGAGAAGAATTCAGTTATTGGAGAGTTTGAAATTACAGGTAGTCCTCTATTTAGTGACTGTTACAATGGTAGTTACAACTGCACTGAAAAAAATGACATGACCGTTTTTCACACGACTGTTGCAGCATCCCTGTGGTCACTTGATCAAAATCTGGATGCTTGGCAATTGGCTCATATTTATGACAGTTGCAGTGTCCTGGGGTCTTGTGATCACCTTTTGCCACCTTCTGATAAACAAAGTCAATGGGGAAGCCAGATTTACTTAACAACCATTACACTAACTCAGGGGTGTCAAACTGCCGGCTCACATGCTGGACATGTCATCCGGAAGTCACACCCACCCCATTGTTGGCAATGGCAAAACCATCCCGATACATTGCGCAACATCACATGATGTCGCGAGTTTGACATGTCTGCACTAACTTAACAACTGCAGTGATTCATTTAACAACTGTGGCAAGAAAAGTCATAAAATGGGGCAAAATTCACTTAACAAATGTCTCACTTAATAATATAAATCTTGGCTCTATTGTGGTCCTAAGTTGAGGACTACCTATGTATCAAGCATCAAGATTGGCTAAATCTGTCTATAAGCACTAATTGGGTATTCAGTTCTTTGAGTTCTATGCTCCCAAACTCCAGATATGTCTGTATTTACAGTGGCTTCCACAGTAATCCACAATGATATCAAAATAACATGTAGTGACATTAAACACATACCACCTTTATGTACTTCCATCCTGACATCTGATTCAAATACATAAGAAGTGGCATTTGCATGATGACATTGTGATACACGTTTCATAATTTTCCCCGCTTTCTCTCCAGCAGTTGATTAAGAAGGGATAGGAGACGGAAAAGCTGATCATTTGGAAGTCCCTATAGTTTCTAATTAGGCTGAGTTGCAAGGAGTTTTTTTTCATATTATACCTGGAGGAAGAAAGGAAAATTAGCAATAACACAGTAATTTCAGTACATTGAATAAAGATAGAGTATTTCAGATGTTTATTGAATTGTGGAAACGATGACATACACAGTTATATCAGCACAATGACGTTTAGATTACTTTAGAAGACAGCTGGAACAATTAATGATGAATTTAAGCTGCCTCTATGGTGGTTTGGGGATGATTGCTTCATGAGGACATAGCTGGGTGTCTTTATGCCATAGATAGCTGGTGTGAAGATGAATCCTATGATTAATTTCACTGTATTACATCTCACTAGTCCATTGATCTGCATTGTGGTTCATAGGGGAAATGATGGCTATTAAAAACTAACAAATTAGCACCTTTTTTGCAGAAAGATGGCAGTTTCCTCTATTGAAAATTGTACATTGAATAATGCTGAGTTCAGTTAGCACAGAAATGCTAAATGCTATCTCAATTAAAAGCAGCCTTTTCCTTAGCAGGCTTTCCTATACATGATGCTCTCCAGATGTGTTGGACAACAATCCTACCATACGATTATAGATATAGGGCAGGGGTAGGCAACCTTGGCTCTTTTATGACTCGTGGACTTCAACTCAGAAATTCTGGGAGTTGAAGTCACGAGTCATAAAAGAGCCAAGGTTGCCTACGCCTGATATAGGAGGGAACCAGTTTAGAGAAAATTGCTTGGTAGTGGTAGTGGTGGCAAGGATCAACACAATTTAATGTATATTGAGTAAACTTTTCTTATTTTATCAGACGAAATCAGAACTACATGAGTATTCTTCGCTTTATGTCCTTGGGAGTCAAGAATTTGAATCCATTTAACATCACTCATCGTTTTACTCATTTCTTCTGGCTGGGAGATCTGAATTACCGCTTAGAGTTATCTCCAATGGTGGGCAGTTTCTTTTATTAAAAAAGACTATTGAATTAAAAAACCCTAATAAAATACAGAATATTAAAAAAATGTTAGAAAAATAAAGAAGAAAGAAAAATAAGAATTAAAAGTGTAAAAAGAAAAGAAAAAATATATTACCGTATGTAAATAATGAGACCTCGTGATTTCATGTTCTACGTTTTCAAATGTAAAAACAGGGAAAATTTCCTTAGTGCAAAAATCCAGATGTTATCCAGCCTCTGTTTGAGCATATTCAAGAAAGAAGTGTATATTACCTTCCGACATGGCGTTCACTTCAAATGATATAATGTATAGATACATACAGGGACAGTATCCTTATCAGTTCAAAAGAGGAGATTGTCCCCAAGCTGCTGCTGCTGCTGTTGTTATTATTAATAATATTAGACTGTGCATGCTGCCCAATTCCTAGTGACTTGGATGGTTTACAATCTATTAAACACATTTAAAAACAAGGAAACAACAAAAGCAAAAAGAATGAAAATGATAGATATTACATAAATAGATAGAAACAATGAAAAAAGGAAGACCTTTAATCACCCCTTACCCAAGGTGAATTGAAAACAGAAGAGCGCAAATGTTGACTATAGCCACAACTGTGCAATTTAGTCATTCCATAGACAAAAAAAGCCTCAATACATCTTCCTTTGCTGGGATTTTGAGTGGTTAATATAAACAGGACAGATTGTTCAGAAGGAAAATCACTAAAAATGTTATTTGTTATTCATGTCAGTGAGGATTTGTATTGTGTTGCTGTTTCCATTAATGAAATGGCCATCCCTGCCCCCAAATCATGGAGAATTTCTGAACATCAGAACTTCCCAGGTATTTCCCCTTGGTGTACAGTAGAGTTTACTCTGATTTAGCAATGGCGTGGGACTCTGTCCTATAAATCATATGTCTTCTGGTTTTAGTTATAAGCAGATACAGAGGACTTCAGTAGAAATCAGAGCTACAATGCTTTGAAATAGAGTTTTGTTTTGTTATTTGAAAAAATAAACCTTTCCTTTCATTCTGCCCTAATGTCTTCTTAACAATAAATTGGTTTAGTGCTTTCAAAGGAAAGAAATAATGGTATTAAATAGCACTAAAACATTTTCAGAATTCAAGTGTTAAGAGTTAATCATATATAAAATTTTGTTTGGACTCCGAACATACTTTGTACTTAATTATATATAATTGAGCATTTATTAAACAAAACATGTAAGAAATATGGGTTAATTGTTAATTATAACACTTCCCCTCTTCTCAGGAAGCAGAAAATATCATTCAGAAAATCAGACAGCAGCAGTATACAGAATTGCTTAATTTTGACCAGCTCCTCATTGAAAAGAAGGATCAGAAGGTGTTTCTGCAGCTAGGTAAGATTGTTACTAGGTTCACTCATTAAACCTAGAGTCAAATATCCTGAAAAATTAGCTGATAAGAGAGAGATAATTGAAGAATTAATTGATCCATTATTGTCAGAGTAATTACTTGATATAAAAATGCCATCGTGTGATGTAACTTACCACATATATCTGACTGATTTATGATTGATATTAAGCCATAGTTTCCCTTCTGAACCAAATTAGATGAATCATTACAGAAATGTAAATTGAATTATGCTTTATGTGATATATGAACTCAACCTTTCTGTCTCTCTCGTTCTCTCTCCTACCCCATGCAATGGCATAAAGAAAATGGTTCCATATGGTTAGAGACTGCATACAAATAACCAAACATGTGCTAAAAACTGCTATAGGAGACGATTAGAATGATCTGCATGAGGTTGCTGTACTGATTTTTGATCCTGAGTTAAAACAATAATCAGCCATCTGTCTGTTTCAGAGGAGGAAGAAATAACATTTGCCCCAACCTATCGCTTTGAAAGAAACACCCGGGAGAATTATATCTACACCAAGCAGAAAGCCACAGGGGTATGCCATAACTTCTAGCATACTGTAGCATTTCAGTTGATAATTGTTGCCAGCACCATTTTCTCTTTTGATAAGACATTGCAGTGAAGAAAATAAAATCAATGGCTTTTTGGCAACCTCCTGGCAGATTGATGTGTTCTTGATATTGAATCATCTTTTGTTTGCAGATGAAGTACAATTTGCCATCCTGGTGTGATCGAGTACTCTGGAAATCATATCCCTTGGTGCATGTGGTGTGCCAGTCTTATGGTGGGTAGATAACAGATTGAAAATAGCAGCAAAGCTGGCTCAAGCGGAAATGATTCAGAGCAGAATCTGTAGAATTGCCTTTCATTGCCAAGTTCTCAACAAGAGACATACTATTTTTGAGAAATGCTTTCTCCTTAAATTAAGATATGTGGGGAAACAGAATGGACTGAATAATTGTGAGAGAAATACACCTTGCATGCTTTCTTCCCCCACCAAAACTAAGCCAATCAGTTGTAGCAATTATTTCTAGGATATTCTGTTTTCCTCAGTTAAAATTGTGAAGTAGCTGAGGTCCGATGTCAAATGAAATTACATTCAAAGCACAGTTAAGTGTGTTTGTGTGTGTGTGTGTGTGTTTGTGTGTGTGTGTAATTATTTCTTTGGGAATTTTGGTTCCTTGTCAGATCTGAAATTAGGAAGTTTATAGGTTATTTCTCATCAGCTCTTCATAACACATTAATATATATATAAGGTTGCAATTAAAACAGTAGAACTATAACATATATAAAATTTAAAAAATAGTACAAAGAGGACAAATTAATTTAACATTTTAATATTTTAGTACTGAAAGAACAAAAAAAGACAACTTTAGGAAGATAATGCCAAAGAGCATATGCTGTACCTTTGACGCTTTACAGCAAGTAGGAGAATTCTAGGAAGGACAATACATGGGAGGATTCGTATTATTATTTTTCAGGTAACCTAGTCCCAGTGGCTAAGGGACATGCCATGGGAGTTGTGTGCTGACTATTGAGTTCTTTCTGCTTTCTTTCACTTGAAAATAAAAGCTTTGTTCTCTTAAGCATCAATTAGGCCAATATTAGCATATTCTTTCCTCCTTTAGAAAGTTAAGAACAGAGACCCTTAACTGTCTTTCCTATCATAGGATGCACAACTGACATTATGACAAGCGATCATAGTCCTGTTTTTGCTACATTTGAAGTTGCTGTCACATCTCAGTTTGTTTCTAAGAATGGTGAGCAATTTTTTTTTCCTTTCTAAGTAAAGATGCGAATCTTTACACCATTGTTCCAATGTCTTTAACAATTTTGCAGAATGCTGTTATTGCCAACCTTAACATATGCCCTCTTTTCCCAGATGCTAAGTACACAGACTCTCTGGGACAGATTGAATTTCTCCATTGCAGTGCTGTCCTCAAGACAAAGTCAAAGACTAAATTCTACATTGAATTTTACTCCAGCTGCCTAGAAAGTAAATGCTGTTCTTCATGTGGTTGTTATGTTATTTATAAATCGCTTGGAAAGATTAATGCGAGAAATAAGGCTGTTCTAGATGATATCCCATTCACTGTTTTACAGAATATTTATATTAAGTATGAAATAATAAGCTACTTAAAAGCTTCTCAGTGTATCATGTTTATATTATCATTTGAAAGGCAAGAATCTTTGTTGCAGAAAATTTCTGGTCTTCATTATTGTTTTTTAAACAATATATCCTTATTTGCTTTCACCTGAAATTCTGTAAAAATGCTTTTATTTTTTACAAGCACTTTTATATTTTCAGACCCAAATGCTAAAATATTTTTCCCAAAAGGATATTAGAATACAACTTTGCTTATAATACAGATCGGGCGATGTAAGATTTGATATAAACGTCTGAACCTGTGATGTACGAGCATACACACATATACACAGAGAGAGGGGGGGAGAGGGGGAGAGAGAGGATGCAATCCTATACAGTTTCTATTCAAATAAGTTATCATTCATGTTGAACTTCTCCCAAGGACAAGGTACAAACCTCAGCTATATATGATATAAATGCATAAAGTTGACCCTAGTCACAGGTCCCTAGCTTTTGAGTGTATTTGTCACCTATTTTATCGTACTTTTCTTCCATATTACCTAAACCTTCTAAAAGGCCTTTTCCTATTCATATACTGACCAAACCTTTGTGTCCACCAGTTTTTACATTAGATCTTCAGATTAGCATGTCCTAGAACATCTGCAGAACTGTTGTTGAGAGTAACATACAAGAAGCCAAGTGTACTGGCCTGAGCTTTGAGAAAAAAAATGATTCATTTTAAATGGTTACTATTTCATATTTGTTCATAAATAATATCACATATATTCTACAGTGGCTATAAAATCACTGTTTATAAGTAACTTTTATGTCTTTGAAATCCAAATTAAAGGACTGAAGCTTAATGTTATACGTTAGCAGCCTAAAAGTAATTGTGATTTTGCAAGATCAAGAATTAATATGTACACACAAGAATCTGCAGTGATTCCATAAATATAAATTTGTCCTTAAGATTATATTTCTGGATTCCTAATTCGGAGCTTTTGTGTATGAAACAATATATATCCCGAATGGGTTATTTTTGTTGTGCTTTGTCAAAGGGCCAAACTGCATTGGAGGGTGAGGGGATGTATATCTCTGTTATCCTGTTTCCATTATTTATATTTCATATAGTTCCGTTAACCACGTTCCACACAAAAAAGGCTGTACAGAGATTTGCATATATTTCTATGGAAACCATGTGTTAAGAATCTTAAATTAGAATTTCAACTATGCTATTTTGAGTGGCGTAGGAAGACTTGTCATATTTTCCTTCTCTTCTTGTCCATGCAAGTACTGAGCTTCTTAATGATTTTCTTAACTAGAATAAAATATTAAGGAGACAACTAATATGTTCATGTGCAAATACAATTTGTAAGCACTCATTTAGAATTATAAACTGAAAGTCAGAAGTGTTTTCCATTCTGCTGTCCAGAAACAGGAATAATTATCAGTTTCCCTTTGCTGCCAAGTTTTGTTATTACATTGTTGTTTTTTTTAGTTTTGCAAATGTCTGTGTTATTGCTTGTGCTTTTTCAGCTGGCATCTTATTTCTTTTCTAACACTTTTACAGGCTTTGTAAAGAGCCAAGAGGGAGAAAATGAGGAAGGAAACGAAGGGGAACTGGTGGTAAAGTTTGTTGAAGCCCTTCCTAAGGTTGGTTGATAGGTTTTGTTTGAATGTAGCTTACATAATAATTGGTTAATTCATATACAAATAATGATGTAATGGATTTTATTCCCATCTCAGACCAGTATCAGATTCATTGTAGTCCTTCAGATAGTCTTTAATAAAAGAGAAAATATATACAGGTTACATAAACATATAAAATCAATATAAAATATAACAGTATTCTCTTATTATAAGGAAAGAGTGCTGATTTTCTTCTTCATATCCTTTCTGCTCCTCCATGAGACAGCACTAAACTCAGCAACCTATCAAACAGAATTTTTGCTATTTGTCATGTAATTTTAAAGTCTTAATCTGCAAGTAATCAGCCAGCATAAACATTATCTGGAGCATCTTGAAATGTTTACATCATAATGAGAGGCCAATCTGGGTTATGGATTTCTGTACATAAACATGTGAGCCAAGGTTTCTACTTTATCCACACTACATAGTCAGACTCTTTTAATAAGAACTTTCTCTCACTTGCCATCCAACGAACATACCATGACAATTTTTTCTGTCACATAGTCAGCTTTTTAAAAAATGATTTCTGGTCGTCCCCACACCTCTGTCCCATTCCCAGCCCACCTTAAAGTCATTCTGACTTTTCTGATGAGTTTCCCTTCTTATCCTGATACCAAAATGGCACAATTTTTGCCATTCACTAATCAAATAATTGCTGGTGTAGATATGGATTGAGATCTGTTCAGCTCCCACTGGCAATGTTAGGCCCTATAGCTATCGTACATTACTCTCCGGAGTCATTTTGCCTTGGGCTGAAGATGAAGCCAGATGCTTGGCTTCTGCAGAAGCATTTGCCCTTCAGTACTTGAACAGGGTTTTTCATAATGACTGTCAGATGGTACTTCTTTGAAGAACACTTCATTTTTTGAGCACAGGCTTACCAGCTACACAGAAAATGAATTTAAACTGGGAGAGAGAGCTGAGTTCAGCATACTGCTGTTTTCATGACTGTTTGTGCACTATATCATGGTCCTTTTAGTGATGAGGGAGCATCATTTTGCACATTCCATTCTGTCTTTGACCGCATGCTAATGTCATACCATGACAATAATGATTGTTATAGCATTTAGACCAATCACAATTGCATGTTTCAGATAAGTCAGCTTTCCCAGTTTGAACTTCTTTAAATACTTTAGACCAGAATTACTATCCCTTGGGACTGTATCTGAAGGGCATCTGTTTGGAAAGAAGTAAAATAGAGTACAGAAAGCTTTTTTTTTTTTTTTTTTTTTTTTTGGAGTCTTGCTTCAAATCCTCAGACTAAATGAACACATGGGTAATTAAAATGCTTAGAAGAACATGTTGAATTGAAATTCAAGCCGGTATCTTTCCAGTTAAGCACTGCCAAGCAAATCTAGGAACTCTGGTTAACTTCCTTTGTATTATATTCTAGATTCCAACATTAAAATTTGGAAGAAGCCTGATAAGTTTCTTCTCCTTTGGTTCAACAAGATGTTTTGAGCGATGGATACCCATTTCCATCTCAGGCTCTTTTAACTGTGACATGAACTAAGACTGCACGCTATACCCTACACTTCTAAATTCCCAGCATTCAGTAATTCTTTTATTTTAGGCAAACTATATAAAGTAAGTGCAACTGACTAAATTTGGAGATTTATACCCCTGCACGTATAGGATCCAAGATTAGTTGTCAAATATGTATATCCTTCTGCCAATATAATTTATGACTCACTAACAGAAAATAAGACAAAAAACCAAGAGCAAAGGTGCATATTTTGCACATATTTGACCAAGAAAAAAATCTCTTGAAATCCAGAATTTACCTTAATTTATGTACAATGCATTTAAGATAGCAACGTAAGTGTAGAAACTTTATACCGTACTGCTTACTGATATCAGATTTCATAAATATATTTCTCTAGTTTTACTGAATTCTTGAGTTTTCTTTGCAGCTAACTCCAATTATTTCAGATCCAGAATATCTGTTAGACCAACACATTTTGATTTGCATTAAATCTTCAGACAGTGATGAATCCTATGGTAAGATTTAAACAAATTTACGCTAAGTTTTCACAAATCAATCATTGTGACTTGTTCAAGTTGGTGAGAGCATTAAAGAGAAAGTTGATTTCTAAGATTACTTTTTTCTTTTTTGCTCAGAAATATATTATAGTAGTTTCTATAAATAAAATACAATCTTACATACAGAAGGATAGAAATTTATTATATTTGCACAGCATACATAATTTTTGGAAATTTATCATCCCCAAAATGAACAGTTTCTGAATGGAAATATATTCTTTGGGAATTAATATCTCTCATGGTTTGTGGCTAAATTACAGATTACATTAAATACTCTATGTCATTGCAGATTATTGTTTATAATAATATTTATTTACAATAAACATATAATTATACAGTAATATAAGGAGAAACAATACCAGTGTGGGGAGCATAAACCTCTTGCACAGCGGTTTGTAAAATTATTGTTAAAAAGAAAACAAATCTCATCATAGTTTCTGCTTAAAATCCTGCATAAGAAATATGATAGATACTTTGTAAAAGCAGGTAACTGATGTTGGGGAGGTAGGAAACATTTAAATCTCCCCATACCTGTGTATTTGTCTTAGTTAGGGTCGATCCTTTCTATACCTTATATAACTCTAAACTGAAATTAGAATAACACTCTACACCACATACTTAAACTTTTGAAGTTGACATTCATTATAATTTGTTGCTTCTTTTGTCTGGAGAGAACAAGCAGTATTTGAACCTCTAATATTTACAGTAGCTTTTCCAACTAGCCACTCTCTGGATGTATTGGGAGTGCAATTTCTAAAATTGCTGGCCTGGTCAGTAAGGGAATTGTAGTCCAATCTGACCTGGAGGACAGCTAGTTCCCAAAATTGTTTAAAACCTGACCAGCTAGTATATTCTAAATTTAATGTATTTGACCACGTTCCGGTGAGAAATTGTTTTGTATGATGTCTACTAAAAGTAATGGAAGAATGTGAAAAGTCCTTCTAAGGACATACCTATATTTTCTGCTTGGCCAACAGCAAATATTGGTCACTCACACTTCCTGAATATAAGAGCAGACAATATTCTCCTCACATTCCCAGACAGCTGCATATGCACCCTATGTTTTATAATTTGCACTCAAAACTGCTATTTTCTAGCTAAGCTGCTTTTATATGCTTTGCAACAGATGGTCTCCAATACTTCATTCTTTTCTAGTCCAGTTCCAGCTCCTATTAGCTGTAGTGCTTAGCTTATCACATCAGATCCCAGCAACCAGTTGTTGCCCCCGGCAGCCATTTGATCTTGGGATGCCAATTTATCATGTTTTCTGCTAAAGAACAGTTGCTGGTTTTTTAAAAATTTATTTGTAGAGTCAAAGGTGATAATCATTTACATACATTCAGCATACATCCTTTCTATTTCTCCCTTGCCCTTTTTCCCATTCTCTGCCCACAAAATTGCAAAACTTCCTTTCCTTGTCTCTATTTTTTTAAATATTTTTAAATTGAGTGGTAGAAACATTGTTTTAAAATTAAGCCTGAATGGGCAGTTCTTACTAGAAAGTTTCCATAGATTTTCAGAAGAATTGGGAAGAAAGAACAACCTGTTCCCCATTGGTTTGATTACTGCATTATCAAAACAACAATGGTAAAAAGACAGGACCTGATATAACAGTCCACAGAGGAACCAGCTCACAAGACTTCCCTTACTTGGAAAGGGACATGAACCAGAAGAATGATCATTAGGGTCATGTGGTGACCATAATCTAATCCGAACATTTAAATCATTCAATCAGAATAGAACTGGAAGGGATCTTAGAGATTTTCTAGTCCAACCCTCTACTCAAGCAGGAGACCCTATACCATTTCAGACAGGTGGCTGTCCAGTCTTTTCTTAAAAACCTCTAGTGATGAAGCACCTACAACTTCTGAAGGCAAGCTGTTCTACTGGTTAATTGTCCTCAGGAAGTTGCTTCTCTACTCGATTAGTTTCCATCCATTGTTTCGTGTCTTGCCTTCTGGTGCTTTGGAAAATAAGTTGACCCCTTCTTCTTTGTGAAATCATTCTAAATCTCACCAATAATATATTTAGTCCCAGTCTCTATCTATCTATCTATCTATCTATCTATCTATCTATCTATCTATCTATCTATCTATTTATCTTCTAACACTGGCCAGCAAAATACCTCTGGGAATTAATCACAACCATCATTACTCCATATGCTTCTATTTGCCTTTGCATATTGTTTTGCACTCAGTGTAATTCTATGCAAGTCTACTCTCCAAGTCTTAAGGAAGAATGTATATGATTGCAGATCTATTCCTAATTGATTAGTTATGTGTGAGCAAAAAAAAAATGCCCCTTGCTATCTGATAAAAATCAAGTCCCTTACTGTACTCTAGGTGAAGGCTGCATCGCCCTTCGAAGTGGAGCTGCAGAATCCGAAGTCCCTATTCAAACTGTGTTAACACACCATGGAGAAAACACAGGGATCTTCCAAGGTCAATTCAAGCTACAAACATCCCAAGGGAAACAGAGAGAAAAATTATACGGTAAACCAGTACTCCTGTGCAGTCATATTTTTGACCAAGAAGGGAAATTGAGTCTGAAAGAGCTGTTTTTGTTTTTCTGATAGCTAAAACCAGCCAAAAATGTAACAGAGTGGGTTATAAGATTTATTTCATAAACTAGTGTTTTTCCATTCCAGACTTCCTCTATGGTGCTGGGCAACTGACCTGGGCTTGTTTGTGTAAGACATTTGCTTAGTTCAAGATATGAACTTGGCTGCACCAGAAAACTAAGCCGTCACCTGGACTTTATAGGGCAAGACTCATAAATGTTTGTGGAAGATTGTAAGGATATGGACACAGAATGTAATATGGGTCAAGGAAAAGCCATTCAATGAACTGGTGGAGAGAAATGTTTTTCTGTTAGTCATTTTAAACTTCACAAAAAATAAACTTTTTAAAATGTGGCCATGACATCAGGAATATGTTGGTAGGTCATGGTATACACATGTCCAATCTGGGCCTGATCCTATAGTTTTAAACAGTTCATGGATATCAACTTCATCAGATTTTCCAACATTTATTCCAATAGCAGGGCTTGTTTACTCAGCAGGAAATTCACCTCCTTAGAAATAATCTCTGGGTAGATGAAGTTTGTCAGAGTGGTGACATCAGAGTTGTAAAGTCATTCCATAAAGACTAACAAATAGCAAATATGGGAAAGGAAGGAATTAGAATGATTGAAAAGATCATGCCATTAAAACAAGCATTTTAGCAATAAAAACATTTCTCATTATCAAAACAACGACCTTGGATGCTTAGAAATGTTCAGAATCTAGTTTTAGCCTTCCCCTCCTGCTTCCAAACAAAGGAGAGAAAGGGAGCTCTCTGCCTGACTATCTGCAATATAAACGTGTAATATGTTTCAGTTGTGGCACTATGGACAGAAAAAACATTTAAACACTTGGCAAAATGTTAAATAAAGTTTGAATTATAAAATACTTTACATGGATATGCAGTTGAAGTTTAGATATGGGAACAGCAATATATGATGGAAATAAACCATGTATAAAAATAAATAGAATGCACAGTGAATGAGTCAACATTGAGCAGGAAGGAAGAGAAATTCTGTAATATCCCCTTGGCCTTGGTGGTTCAGTGCATAGTGGATAAATACCCAAGCAATGCTTGCTTGTGGTGAGGGGTTGGAGATATACAGTACTGGTTAAAGAAGAGAAAATATACATACTTTTAATGCAAATTATACCATGTTGTTAACTGAAATCCTTAATGATTTGTAGTGAATGTTTGTATTCCAACAGGAATAAGTATCTGAATTAATGAATCAAAGATAATAATAATAATGATGATGGTGGTGGTGGTGGTGGTGGTGGTGGTGATATGATGATGTTGTTGGAAGGGACCTTGGAGGTCATCTAGTCCAACCCCCTGCTCAAGCAAGAAACCCTATACCATTTCAAATGGCTGTACAGTCTCTTTTTAAAAACTTCCAGTGTTGGAGCATTCACAGCTTCTGGAGGCAGGTTGTTCCACTGATTAATTGTTCTAACTGTCAGGAAATTTCTCCTTATTTCTAGGTTGCTTCTCTCTTTGGTTAGTTTCCATCCGTTGCTTCTTGTCCTGCCTTCAGGTGCTTTGGAGAATAGCTTGACTCCCTCTTCTTTGTGGCAACCCCTGAGATATTGGAACACTGCTACCATATGTCAGATTAAAGTAATTGCAATTAATAGAGAATAAACAGTGCATGACTGCAAGTTGCACACACATGGCAAAAAAAGAGAGGAAATAGATGAATATTTACAGAAGATTAAGATGCTAAAGTGGAAAGTTTTTAAAACATGCAAACAGTGGTGGAAAGCTAGTGGCAGTAGATAGTATGTTGCAATGAAAGAAGTGAAAATGGCTGTGTATAAGAGTATATTTCTTTGTGAGTGGTGTGGTGACCTAGTGGTCAAGATGCTCGCCTCCCACTCAGAAGGTTGAGAATTCAATCCCAGGTAGCGGCAGATATTTCTCTCTCAGGACACAAAGAGAAAATATTTGCTGCAAACTCCATATAGGTGTCAGGAAGAGCATCCAATCCAGCCAGTAAACGCTCAATTCCATTCAGTCGCCCCAACTTTATCCAGCAGTAAAGGATTATAGGGTTGTAAAAAGGAAAAAAAAGAGCATGTTTCTTCCAACACTGTGACACAGATATTGGGTATGTTACAAAGAAACATGCAAGTATATTGAATGCAGTCAAAATATGTTGGTTGAATGTGTGTGTAATAAAACAAGATGAAATAAAAATATGAGTAGACAATAAATAAATGTGGATTGAATACAAAAGTGAAGTATCCAATATGAAAAAGCTGAGGTGGTTTTACCATGTAAGAAGAATGAATGAGAACTAAATAATGAAACAAATATTAGTAAAAGAAAAGTAAATGGATCAAGAGCAAAGAAGGATCAAGAAAGATTTGACTGAATGGAGTTGATGAGATCCTCAAAAAAAGAGATTAAATTTTAAAGAACAAAAAGGCAATACATGAATTGGTGTGCAGTTGTGGTAGAAGGAAGTATGATTTGCAAAGATAGAAAGATGTAGAAAGTATTGAGATTGGAATTGATACAAACTAGATTTAGTTAGATTTCCATTTATTTTCTTTTATCTCCTGCCTTTAATTTCATTTGCTCCCTACTTATTCTTTTTCTGCACCGTGCATGATGTTGCTTATCCAAATATAGAAGGGCCTGTGAGATACTCATGCTCCCTCTGAGGTGAACAAGAAGTTGCACAGTTGGCAGTGATTAGCTTCTGATTTCCAATTGCTTTCCTGCTTACCACTCAGGCAGCAGTTGGGCCATCTCAGTGTAGTAGTTTTATTTGGCTGAGAGTATCCCAGCTATCCTTTTCTTATTTTCATTGTACAGTTCAGCCATACTAGTCACCTTGGACCTTAAATTAAATGTATACTTTATGAATACTTTAGGTTATTCAATAATAATTATAACATTATAAAGGTATAAAGAAGCACTTATATTTCATTTGGATCTGTTTGCCTTCAGATTTTGTGAAAATTGAACGAGATGAAACAGCTGGACAAAAATCAATCAGAGGCTTGAGCTGTATAGACCATGCAAAAGAATGGGAACAAATCAACAAGTAGGTTGAAAGCAACTAATTGTCTATATGCAAACATGATTGATATGTTGACTAGTGGTGTCACACTACACCTATATTGACTACAGGCTATAGTTGCACTATAGACTGCACTTATCAGTCTTTCTCCAATCATAACATTGGTTTTCTTTGGAAAAAATATGACATTTTTCATTGTATTTTTATTATCTGCCAGGTAAAAATTCATGGAATCAACTTTCCTAGTTCTTTACTTGCCTATATTGTACTACATTGATAGCATATTCCACTACAGGTTACATCTATAGTGCAAAAAAAGGCAAGTTAAAAACTAGGAAAGTTATCAGGAAACCTAAGGTTATGATTGGAGATAAAGTGAGATACTAATATTTGGGAAAATTATACCAAAATAATATTTTAATACATTTTAATGTGATCCATGGCTTACCAATAATCTAGGACCATTTTGATTGTTGGAATAGACGGTACAATACTGATTTTTTTCCTGTTGATCCTAGAACACTAATCATCTTTAATCATAGTGTTTTTGTAACTGCTATATCCCACATCTCTGTGACCTCAATTCAGCAATTTCAACGTTCCTCTTCCCAGTTTTTAGCAGTTGTTTGTCTCACAGCTGTCAACAGGAACAGTAGTATTTCTTTACATAATATTTTTTCATTCTCACCTCATTTAATACTAATTATAAGACAGAGCATAATTTTTTGTTCTGTAATTATGATGTATTCCTTAAAGACATAGTACTACAGATATCTATTGACTTTACATTCTCACCAGATATTATAGAACCTGTGAGATTCTCTGAAACATATGGGCTGATCTCTTTGTAAATATAGTTTATAGTCATAGCATTAGCTATTAGTTTTAACATAATTCTCTCACATTTTTAATGAGAGTATTTAATTCCCAAATAGCGTCTTATTCTCCTTCTCTTTATAAATCTTTGCTATGTTTAGTGTACCACTAAATCCAGTTTTCAAGAACAGTGTTTGCATGATGGTTTTAAATGTTGGAAAAGACTGGAGTTGTCCATGTTTAGATTCACTCCCATCTAGGAAGTGTGTTTGTGTGTGTGTGTGTGTGTGTGTGTGTGTGTACATACACATATTTGAGGCCATCCTCATAAGTTGTCAAGGTTGTAAGACTTCTAATTGTTTCACTATTCACTGATGTTAAAAAATGTGATATGAAAATATTCTTTCAGAAGATTTCAAAATTCTGTAACTTGTATTTTCTCTGAAAGGGCTACTATTTCCAGCAGGAGACCCACTCATTTGGTAGCCAAAGAAGCAGCTGCCATTGCTCGGTTTCGTGGAACTGGAGTATCTCTTGATGAACCTTGCAGAGATGATATTGGGCGGTAAGCACAGAACTTCACCTTTGAGGAAGCCTCATGGTCCATTTATACTTGTGTAGCTTCTTCTCATATGATACGATTCTTCATTTTTGTTATTTTTGTTATTAAAAGGAGATGTACATGAAATGAAGTCATTTTGTTTTTGTCTCAACAAGTACATTTTCGAGGACAGTCCCCAGAATGTCATCAAGTACAAATAGCTGGTAAAGATTTTCAGCCAGGAAAAAGTGCATATCCCTAGTGTATATTCCAATAAACATCTTTAGGCACAATATAATACAACTGGCCAGAGAAGCACCATAAAGCTAAAAAAAGGTGAAAGAAGCTGCTGACAATGATTCTTCATTATTTCTCACTTTCATAAGATTTGAAGGAGTTTAAATCAAGAAGAGTGTTCCACTTGGAATAGTGCTCCTTCTTTAACTAGAAATTGCTGTTTCTCTACTTCCTTCTTTAAGTTGGTCGCCAGTGAAAATGATGTTTCGGTCTACACTGAAAAGGATAATGTTCCTTATCAAAATAACAATTTCACCAACAATTATAGGTGGTACCTGCCTGCCTAACTGCCTGCCCATCCGCCCATCCATCTATCATCTATCTCATTTAACATTCCATTAAAACCACGATAAAACAATAACTAAAAGATTGCCCAATGACTCACAGCTAAATTCCAAATGTCCCTTTAGAAGATAAGGTATTCAGTGTCTTCCTGGATGCTAAAAATGAAGGAGGCCAAATGCGGGCCTATTTTCTGGTTCAAAGCCCTTTTACAGAGGTAACACCCTAAGCAGATTTTTTCCTAGACTCAGATTAGGAAGTCTCTAAAGATTCAGCCCCACTTCACATGTAGCTTTATAGCCAATGACCACCACTTTTATTCACTAGCAGTCTATCTTCTACTTTCTATGACAATTCTAGCTTCCATATTGTCTTCAAAGGAAGACATGTGTAGACCATTTTGCAATAGTCCAACTATGTGGTGATAAGAAATTAGTTGCTATTTCCAGATATTAAGACTGCAACTTGTACACCAGCCAAAGCTAGGCAGGAGCTGCAAGTGCAGGAGGATCATTTAATTATAGGTATGCTCCTCCTACTGTTACAGTTACTGTAAGTGATATTTTGAAAAGCCTTGATGTTTATAAGCAAACATCATTTCCATCTTGCTGGATTACAGAACCCAAACTAGGTTTCATATAGATGTAAAAGGTATGGGGGACACAAATGATCTGTGTGGTTTCTACAAATGACCCTTACACTGGAGCAACCATGGGCTTGATCACCTTTTTATAACTGACTGGAAACACCACCAAAGGTAGAGCAGAACCACTGCAGAGTTGTGCCTCCAACAAAATACCACAGTAGGTATTTTGTTGGAGGTTTCCATGAAGGGTGTACTCTCCAATTCAGATTCTGATACTCTCTAATTCAGATTCTGATACTCTCCAATTCAGATTCTGATACTCTCTAATTCAGATTCTGATACTCATCTGCTTTTGTGACATTGATCTTCTGTCCCATGTCTGGGCCTGAGAACTTAATCAAAGGGATCTGATAATCCTGTTCTAGAATTCTTGTGTTGAGGCCCACAGTGATGACCTTAGAGAAACTGCCTGTAAAACATATTTTAAGCCTAGGAAATGAAGAAAGCATTAAAAAGAAGCACAAATTTACTTTGCCTTAACTCCTCCAAATTTCTCCAGAATAACTATATGGTCTAACATAATTATTCATTTCTCTCACTCTTAATTTTTTCCTCAGGAACACAGTGCCCTCAGAGATCAATAATGCTAGCTACTTAAGGATGACTGTTGCCTCTCAACCATTCACTGCAACAACCCAGTTTAAGCAAATCCCTTCACCAGATCAACAACCTACCCTTTGGAATTATGATCCACAGCCAAAAGATAATATTCCACTATTGGGATTAGAATCTCCTACTACACCTTCCACTCTGTCTCCTGGATCTCCAAGACCTACTGCTCCTTTTGCAACTAACCGAAAAGATCAACTGTAAGTTTTATACCACTTTGGTCTAAATTTCCCATATTTTGCTTGTTCTTTAGCAGACCGTTCAAAAGATCACATTATTTCTAGACTTCAGGCAACAGGACTATATAACAGGACAACTATAGAACAATAATTAATAGAGAAATTAATTAATTAGCATAACATTTTCAAAACATTCCCAAACTTTGTATAATAGTTTCATAACCTTCCTTTTTCTCTTAATTTACTAACTTCGGCAGGTACAGTGAAGTGAGGAAAAGCTTGGTAGAACCATTGCTGCAAGAGGAAGCATATTCAAAACCAGAGATGATTGATAATCCACTGTATGACTTCACAAAATCCAAGGACAAGCTTCTATTTAAGAGAGAACAGGAATTGTTTAAGGGCTCCCGGAAAGAACTCCCAACTATTCCTGATCAAAACTTTCCTTTCACCAAGCCACAAGAGACCGATGGCAACAAACCTTGCAAGCCACAATTCTCCCCACCTTTCCTTGTCTCCACACACAGGTTTCGTTCTTATACCTGTTCTAATCAATCTGAGGAAAACAATACAGTGAAGGAAAAGATTCAAAACAAGCAGAAACCCTGTTCCAATTTAGATTCTTCTCTGTCAACTTTCAAGAATCCCATTAAATTAACAAGGTCTGAAATAGGGCAGAATAAACCACCTCTTCCATCTAAAAGCCAGGTAGTACTTGATATGCAGCATGTCAAGGGCCGAGATTATCGAGAAAGCTCAGAACTTCCATCTCAAAGGAAACACCAAAATGAGGATGGGACTATTGGCAGAGCAGCTGTTCCGGTAAGTTTAATATGGTACATAGCATGTATATTTTTAAACAGGAAATAGTTCTTCAGAATTTCAGAAATGGGCTAGGTCCTTTCTCAGCCCAGTCTGGAAATGCCAATGATTAAATATGTATGCTTTTGCATAGGTAGGTATGTGGTGACTGAGTAACCAAGTCTATTTCAGTTTTGCTATATATTTATAATTATATATGATTTTTATATGAAATGGAAGATAGATTAAAGAATACATAGATAGTACCATAGATTTCTCTGGAATCATACAACTATTCCAATAATAATTGAATGAATCTTCAATCTTGAATCCAATCAAGGAAAAAGTTGGCAGAAATATTTGAGGAGATATTTGAAACAGTAGGAGAAGTAAGGCAAATTACCATGGGATATTTTTGTTTCTTTTTGTAAACTGAGCAAATAGTACTCAGTTTTCTGCTGGTCAGCATTTGACCCATTTCATTAAATCTTGCAAACTAATATGCTAAACCAGGTGATCATAACAACACTTCATAATTTTTAAATATCTCTGAGATAAATGGAGCTACTACTGTCTTTTGTAATGTAGACCGTGAGTGTACTTTAAACAAATCAAGAGACAACTACTGTAAGCAGTCTTTGTTAATTGTGTATCATCTGAAAGTGTTTGCGCCCTTTATTTATTTCTTTTACAAGATCTATAGGCTGTACATCACAAGTGTCCTATGATTCCCACTTATTCATGCAGAGTAAAGCAAAGCAAAGCAAAATGCAATCAACAAAACCAAACCATAGAATTACAATGTAAGGTCTTGGGCATAGCTGCAACCCACCACATCCACCCACTCCTCCTTTCAAATCATATCAATTGGTAGAAGAACAAAAATGTCATTCAGCCTCCCAGGGCTTGTGAGAATAGTCTTTATAGATAAAACACAAAGAGGGGAGAGGCCAGATTCCAGAGGGGTGTTGTTCCCAAGGAGAAATGGCCACAACAGAACATTCAACTACTTAAAGGTATTTTCCCTAAAATAATAAAGAGAACCACGTTGCATACTAGACATCAAAGGAGATATATTTGATGCTATAGTTTTGTTCACTGTGAGATGCATACATTGGCACATACAAGATGAGATATTTGTTTTGACACACTATATTTGGAGAGACTGGCTTGACCTGTCTGAGATCAGAAGCTAAATGTGTCTTGCCTGTTCCTGAGCAAAGTAGCTTTTCATTGATTATTCTTTCATAAGGATGGATGTTATTTTTGTCTTTCTAGTGAAAGGAAGCTTCACTGATGAAAAACCCAGATGAATCCTGAAAAGAAACAGCATGAACATTTCTCAGAAAACATCTTAATATTCTTTGACTTGGTACGTAAGCCATGTAGTTGAATGTTTAAACAAAAATAAATATTTCTGTCTGTCTCTCTCTTAGTACACATTATGAAACATAAGGTAAAATCAATTTAGACCAAAATTGATTTTAAAAGACTGAGATGAACAAGTGCTATAAAGCTTAAAACTTTGTCAATTATTTCAAGGGCAAGAAAATTGTGAATAATTATTGGAATTGAAAATGATATGGGTTGGATACATTTGAAAAGTACACTGCACATGGAAGGTATTACTATATTACAGATTAAGACAAAATGTATATTTAGTTTCCTAAATATTTTTATCTGGTGGTTTACTGAGGGAGAATAAAAACCAAAAGTGTATAATTTTTGAGCATGCACAAAGTGCTAACTTGGTTCTTTAAGAGAACAGAGGATGCATTTTCAGCAACTATAAAATTTCTTTTGGATCATAAATCTATCAATAATAATTGCCTAATATATATATATTGGGTTAGTAATAAGGATTAATTTTGTGGGTACAATTGTAGGTCAAATTAAAATAATCACTATAACTACCGGTAAGCAGTCTAGCAGTTTTTATTCAGCTCTTATATATACAAAAAAGGTGTTGTGGTTTGCTTTGTATAGTATACACACAGTATTCAATTTATACTGACTTCATTGTAATATCACATTGGCAATTACTTGATTCAAAATATAATAAAAACTATCTCTCTTATCCTGGTTTATAAGCAGCTAGACATATTTGGGCCTAATTACAATTAGATTTTGATGGTGAGTCTCATGAATATTTTATTCTTTAAAAATAGGTTTCCATTCTGTTGGAAAATGTGGTAGAATCTGGAATAGTTTCTAAATTAATTGCTTGGTAATGTTTATTTTAAGGAATTTCAATAACTACACATAGTAGAATTATTTTTGTCTCATACAAAATCAGGTCATGGAATATCAGTGCATGCAAGTCTTAAACACGAGGTTAAAATTAATTCATGAGTTTATTCCAAGTATTTTAGCCTCCTCAATAATGTATTGAAAAAATGGATTGTATCTCTGTTGGCAACGTAATGCATTTAGCTGTGGCAAGTTCTGGTTTCCTTTTGGAGTAATAATATGTATTAGTAGATGGGTGGGTAAATATTTCCAAGTTTAAAATAGTTTCAAGTTAAAGATGTCAGTATTAGTTTGAATTATATTTAAAAATCGTGAAACCTGACCATTTTTGAGAAACATAGGTTATATCAAATATGAGGAATAGCCCAGAGATTTATATAGAGGGACAGGAAAAGTCCTATTATCCAGATATCAAAAATTGGATTCAAGAAATGTATCACATTTTTAAAGATTGTTTTTATACTAATTAAAACACAATGTGTTTCCCTGTTACAGATTTCCTAATATTTTGCAAAAGTAGACACATTTTCATGTGTAATTTGATATATTGCTATTAAATGAATATGTCATCTGTTTAGGTGATTTATATCAAATTAGTATGTTCTTTTTTTCTTTTAGTTTAGTATTATAACTTAATAATTAACTGTTGGATGTGTGTACATTAATGTCTTCCTCTTAATTTGTTTTGTATATATTTTAAACGGCAACAATATAATTAAAATTATTTCTTATTGGCCACAATGCTTATTACTTTTTATTTTTGTATCCATCTGAGACTTTATGTAAAAAGCTTTGCAATAAAATTATGCAGTGTATCATGTCTTTGATTTTCTGTACTCATTGCTAATTTAGAAATGCAGTCATTCTTATCCAAAAGAAGCAAATTATTATGATTGGCCGCTGCAGATTGTTTAAGGTTATTAAATAACGTGTTGACATCGTCATCTCTGATTGCTACTGTTCAATAGATTTACATGAACTAAGATCCATTTGCCTTCTGCTGTCTGTCATGTTTCCCTGATTCCAAGAAATTTGAAGGAGACATTTATGCTGCTGAAGCTGAATGGAGCTGTAAACAATGTGCCTGGTGAAAGTTAATTGTGGTGGAAAGTAGCAAGTGCAGCAGGCTGTTGTAATAGGGTCAATCTATTTCCCACAGAACAGAATTAAAGAAGAGTAAATGGGGGAAAGGCCGTGCAGATTTTTTTTTAAAGGCCCCATTCACAGAGTAAGTAGCAGTGCTGACACGCAGAATTTTTTAAGATCACTTCATGCAATCATTTTACTGAAACAAAGCAGCTTGGATCTAGCAATGCTTGATTTTACAAACTCTCAGTTCTATTTCCAGTAAATATTGGAAATAACAAAAATCTGGATTTCAGGCAATAATGGACTTCATCCTAAACAATGAAATGTCCATTGCATGTTGAAACAATCCAAACAACGTTTTACTATGTTTTATGTTTATATGTGTTTCAGTGCAAATAATACTTGTTGCTTTTAGATACTATTTCATCCTTTTTCATTATAGTTATGGTTTGGGATTCAGTATTTCTAAATACTGTAGTTAAATGAGCCATGGCTTGAAAGGAAGGGAGTAAAAAGGAAAAAAAAGTGTAGATGGCAGTATAATGGAGTACCAATACTCTTACCTGGGTTTGATCAGATTTGCCCCAAGTTTTCCTCTAGTAGCGCTCCAGGCATCTGTTCTTGGGCTTCATTGCCCAAAGCGCCTCAATACCAAGAGGTGCCCCAAGATTGACACAAAGGCTGCATGGGAGAGATGCAGTCCAAGGCTCTATCCACCCAAAGGGAAAAAACAGACCAAACTATCGAAAATAGTGCCATAAAAAACAGAATAGACACGCAAGTTAAGATAGGCAAGAAAATGGTAAGTGAGCACTTGTCCAGCCCAGACGAGTTCAAATCACCAGGACCAGATGGATTACACCCCAAGGTTCTCAAGGAACGGGCAGATGTGATCTCAGAACCACTTTTCAAAGATCCTGGAGCATAGGGGAACTACCAGAGGACTGGAAAAGAGCTAATGTAGTTCCCATCTACAAAAAAGGAAAAAAAATGGACCCAGGAAATTACAAACCTATCAGCCTGACCTCAATACCTGGGAAGATCCTGGAAAAGATAATCAAACAACGAATCAGCGAACACCTAGAGGCAAACAAAATCATTACTAAAAGCCAACATGGGTTTGTCAAAAATAGATCATGCCAGACAAACCTTATTGCATTCTTTGACCAAATGACAAAATTAGTGGATCAGAGGAATGCTGTGGACATAATTTACTTGGACTTCAGTAAGGCATTTGATAAAGTAGATCACAACCTACTACTTGACAAGATAGAAAAATGTGGGGTAGACAGAACCACCACCAGATGGATCCTTAGCTGGCTGACCGGCCGTACTCAGCGAGTGGTCCTCAATGGAACTGCATCTATATGGAGGGAAGTGTGTAGTGGGGTGCCCCAGGGCTCTGTTCTGGGCCCAGTGCTCTTCAACATCTTTATCAACGATTTGGACGAAGGGATAGATGGGGAACTCATCAAATTTGCAGACGACACCAAGCTGGCAGGAATAGCCAACACTCCAGAAGACAGGCTTCAGATACAGAAGGATCTGGACAGACTTGAACACTGGGCACTAACTAACAAAAGGAAATTCAATGGTGAAAAAAGCAAGGTTCTACATTTAGGCAAGAAAAACCAAATGCACAGGTATAGCATAGGGGGTACCTTGCTCAATAGTAGTAACTGTGAGAGGGACTTCAGAGTCCTAGTGGACAATCACCTAAATATGAACCAGCAGTGTGCTGCAGCTGCCAAAAAGGCCAACACAGTGCTAGGCTGCATTAACAGAGGGATAGAATTGATCATGTGAAGTGTTAATATCACTTTACAATGCCTTGGTAAGGCCACACTTGGAATGCTGCATCCAGTTTTGGTCACTGCGATGTAAAAAAGATGTTGAGACTCTAGAAAAAGTACAGAGAAGAGCAACAAAGATGATGAGGGGACTGGAGGCTAAAGCATATAAGGAACGGTTGCTGGAATTGGGTATGTCTAGTTTAATGAAGAGAAGGACGAGGGGGGACATGATAGCAGTTTTCCAATATCTCAGGGGCTGCCACAAAGAAGAGGGTATGAAGCTATTTTCCAAGGCACCTGAAGGCAGGGCAAGAAGCAACGGGTGGAAACTAAGCAAGGAGAAAAGCAACCTAGAACTAAGGAGAAACTTCCTGACAGTTAGAACAATTAACCAGTGGAACAACCTGCCTCCAGAAGCAGTGAATGCTCCAACACTGGAGGTTTTTAAGAAGACACTGGACAGCCATTTGTCCGAAATGGTATAGGGTTTCCTGCCTGAGTAGGGGGTTGGACTAGATGACCTCCAAGGTCCCTTCCAACATTATTATTATTATTATTATTATTATTATTATTATTATTATTATTATTATTATTATTGATCATCGCACAGTCAGCCAGATGTTCAGACTGAATTTGGCATTTTGTCTACCTATCGAGTCCTTACCCAGGACCTGGGATAGGCAGATATGGATGTTTGATGGTATTACAGATATCGTCGCAGGATGGAAGCAGTTCCTAATAAGGCCGCCTTTTGCAATTGACTAATAGCGAATTTGTCAATGCCAATGGTGTTCAAGTGGTGCTCCAGTTGTTTTGGGATTGCACCCAAGGAGCTATGACTATTGGTACTACCCTTGCTTGCTTTTGCCACAGTCTTTCTATTTCTATTTGTAGGTCTTTGTATTTTGTTATCTTATCCAGTTCTTTCTCTTCTATTCTGCTATCTCCAGGCACTGCCACATCCACTATCCAGACTTTTTTGTCTTTCTTATCGACAATTGTTAAGTCTGGGGTGTTATGTTGCAGGTGCTTGTCTGTTTGAATTCTGAAGTCCCAGAGCAGTTTAATTTTATCATTTTCTATGACTTTCTCTATTTTATGATCCCACCATTTTTTGCTTACAGGAAAATGATATTTTTTGCAGATCTTCCAATGCACCATTGTTGCTACTTTGTCATGCCGCTGCTTGTAATCAGTTTGTGCAATCTTCCTGCAACAGCTTACCAAGTGGTCCACTGTTTCTTCAGCTTCTTTGCACAGGCGGCACTTACTGTCTGTTGCTGTCTTCTCAATTTTGACTTTGTATGCATTTGTCCTTAACGCTTGGTCTTGTGCAGCCAGAATTAGTCCCTCGGTCTCTTTCTTCAATTTTCCTGCTCTTAGCCATTGCCAGGTTTTATTATTATCTGCTTTCCCAGCTATTTTTTTCATGTGTTGGCCATGTAGTGCTTTGTCTTCCCATGCCTCTATTCTGTTCTTCATTTGGCCTTTCTTGTAGGCCAGTTTGGTCTCTCCAGTAGTCAGTAAGCCTTCCTGGTATACTAATTTCAGTGCATCTTCATCATTGTTCTTCAGATATTCTTCCAAAGCCATTTTTTCTTCTTCAACCATCTGATGTACTTGTAGCATTCCACGCCCACCTATTTGCCTTGGTAGATAAAGTCTATCAATGTCACTTCGTGGATGAAGGGCATGATTCATTGTCATTATTTTTCTGGTCTGACTATCCATTGCTTTTAGTTCTGCTTGAGTCCAGTCCACTATTCCAGCTGTGTACCTAATGACTGGGATTGCCCAGGTGTTGATTGCCTTTATGGTATTTCCTCCATTGAGTTTGGATTTTAAGATCTTCTTCACTCTCTTGGTGTATTCACCTCTAATCTTTTTCTTGACTTCAGTGTGCTTGATGTTGTCAGCTTGAAGGATGCCCAAGTATTTGTAGTACTCTTCCTCATCCAGACTCTTAATGTTATTTTGGTGGGGCATCTTGATTCCTTCAGTTTTCACTATTTTTCCTTGTTTGATAGTAAGTGTGGCACATTTGTCCAAGCCAAACTCCATTACAATATCTTGGCTATATATCCGGACAGTGTTGAGCAGCGATTCTATTTCAAATGATGTTTTTCCATACAGCTTCAGATCATCCATATAAAGGAGGTGGGATAGTCTGGCAGATGTTTTTGATGTTTGATAGACATGTCCTGAGTTATTCAGTATTGTTGACAGAGTAAACAGTGCAATAACAAATAGTAATGGTGATAATGAATCTCCTTGAAATATTCCTCTCTTGATATTAATCTCTCCCAGCCTCTCACCATTGATCTGCAACTGTGTCTTCCATTGTGCCATCGATCTTTGCACAAATTTTCTGATGTTTCTACTGACTCCTGTTATTTCTAGGCACTTTATTATCCAATCATGTGGCAGAGAGTCAAATGCCTTTTTGTAGTCAATCCATGCCACATTCAGGTTGGTCTTCCTTCTCTTGCAGTTTTTCCAAGATCATTTTGTCTATTAGGAGTTGATCTTTTGTTCCTCTGCTATTGGGGCGGTTTCCTTTCTGCTCAGGTGGAAAGAGATTGTTTTCAACTAGATGCTGTTGCACTGCATCAGCTACTACACCAGTTAGTAATTTGAAAGTTGTTGGTAAGCAGGTAATTGGCCTGTAGTTACCTGGTGTTGCCCCTTTTGCTGGATTTTTCATTATTAGGTAGGTTTTCCCAGTTGTTAGCCACTTTTCAATTTCTCCTCCTTGTAGTATATTGTTGAACTGCTTGGCAATGAGTGGGTGTATAACAGTTAGATGTTTCAACCAAAACCCATGCAGTTCATCTTCACCTGGTGCTGACCAATTTTTGATTTTCTTTGCTCTTTTTTCTACCATTTTTGTTGTTATTACTAGTTCTTTCATTTCAACTTCTGTTTTATTTGCA